AGCCCTGAGGTGGGGGTGACTGCTCCGCTTCCTATCCCCACATCCGCAGGCCCCTCAGCCGTGCCAGGGAGTGCAGGGGGCCTGCCAGCACACACACACACACACACATACACACACACACACACACGAGGAGGCCTGCCAGCACACACGCACAGCCGACCCCCAGTAACTGCTGCTGCCTCACCTCTAATCGCCTGGCCTGGTAACTTCCCACCCGTGACCTCCTCCCCACCTCAGGGTCCCCACGCCCCGCCCCACATGGCAGCGCTGTTGCAAGGGCCTCAGCTGGGCCTCTCACTTCCTCACTCCCCCCCACACCATCACACACACACACACACACACACACACACACACACACACACACTACTCCCAGCCTCAGGGAAGGAGCATCCTGGTCTCTCTGACCCCTGCACCCCAGGCGGGGACCCTGTCCAGTGCTTCCTGGGTTGCCTCCTGCTCGTCCCTGCGGTGCCTGCCCAGCATGACAGAAACAGGGTCCCACTGAGTGCCCAGGATGGTAGGTCAGCACGCAGTTCCCAGGCAGGTCATGGCTAAGGTTGCGTTGGGTCAGAAAAAAGCAAAGATCTGCACCCAGTGGCCTTTCTCACCCTCCCTGGGAAACACGGACGGTGCGGGGGCAGCAGGAGGGACTCCCACATCCCACGGCCAGTGTCCGGCTCGGCGGCCAGGCTGCACTCCCACGCGGGGGTGTGGGCAAGAGGAGCCGTCCCCACCCCATAGCCTAGTGCCTAGCTTGGCATCCAGGCTGCACTCCCACGCGGGGGGTAGCAGGTGGAACCACCCCCTCTCACAGCCAGTGCCCGGCTGGGAGGCCAGGCTGCACTCCCACGCTGGAGGGTAGCAGGGGAGGCTCAAGGCCCTGGGCCCCGTAGTGCCCCTGGGAGGCCCGGATGGAGTTCTGAACTCAAGCCACTGTCTTCTTCAGGGAGTGACCCAGAGGATGGATGGAAGCACTCTATATCTTTCTGCCTTTCAGATACATTTTTAAATCACAGCAAGGCCTCTCCTTGAGATGCTGGTCACTCCTATGCCCAGCCTTGGCCTCCACCCCACAAGGCAATCAGCCTAAAGGAGAGCCTAAACAATGTCACTAGAATTTTCTAGAACTCTGAGGACCGTGTGTTGTGACAGAGCCACCTCAGTGGAATCCCCTCAGCCTGGCCAGTTGATCACTGTGCAGGTGGTGAGGCGGGGATTCCTGCTCGGGGAGAACCCCCCTTAGGGGGCAAGGGGGACGGAGGAGCCCCTTCCCTGGGGCTTCCCAGGTTTTTAAATCTGAAAGCCAAGTGCGTGTGTGAAGGCAGGCGTTGGTGCAGTGGCTCGCTGCTTGGGAGCCCTGCATCCCCTACCAGGGGCCTCCGCTCCAGCCCCGCTGCAGCCCCGCTGTGCCTCCGCTCCAGCCTTCCTGCTGACACACACCCCGGGAGGCGGCAGGTGGCAGCTCAGGTACCTAGGCACTACCGACCCTCCTGGTGGGCGTAATGGCTGGGGAGTGGACCAGCCGAGGTCTCCATCTCTCTCTCTCTCTGCCTCCCAATAGATACAATTTTTTTTTTTTTTTGCAGATTTATTCATTTTGATTGGAAAGTCAGATTTATAGAGGAGAGACAGAAAGATCTTTTGTCTGCTGGTTCACTCCCCACGTGGCTGCCACTGCTGGAGCTGAGCTGATTAGGAGCCTCTTCTGGCTCTCCCACGCGGGTGCAGGGTCCCAAGGCTTTAGGCCGTCCTCCACTGCTTTCCCAGGCCACAGGCAGGGAGCTGGATGGGATGTGGGGCAGCTGGGAGACGAACCAGCGCCCACATGGGTGCATGCAAGGTGAGGACTTTAGCCACTAGGCTATTGAATCAGGCCCCACACCATGTTTCATTAGGCTTGTCCTGTGATATTCGGTCAGGGCTGCTCAGTCAGACTGTGTGCCGGCTCATTCCCCAAAGTGCTGTGGTTAGGCCATTCCCAAGCCGGGCTGGGGCCAGGAGCTCCTTTGTCTCCCACATGGAGGCAGGGGCCGGAGCACTTGGACCGTCTTCTGTTCTCCCAGCCACATTAGCAGGGAGCTGCAACAGAGGTGGAACAGCCGGGACTTGAAACGGAACCCAGTGCTGGCACGGCACCCGGTCACTTTGCCCCACTGTCCCACAGCACCACCGCCCCCTCCCCCCGAACAGTGCTTCAGCTGAAACCTGTTGAAATGACAAGGAAGAAGCAGTGGGTGCGCTCAGAGCGGGGGGCCCAAGAAATGGCCTCTCTGTTTACACCGCACCCCACAGGAATCAGGGCCAGTGTGATGGGCCGGGGGGGCACACAGCAGCTGTACCCATCTGCACACACACAGGCCCCACACGTGTCCCCTTCTACCTCTGTGAGGCTTCCAGGCAGGCTCAGGCGATCCTGGAATACCTGTGCAGCCCACACTTGCATGCGTGGGTCCTGGCTGTGGTGGCCAAGACACGCAGCACGCGTGGGCCCTGGGTGGTCTCAGAAACGCAGGTTATGGGGAAGCCTGGGTAGGTGGCCAAGCCGCCCACCTGCATGTCCGGGTGCAGGGTGTCAAGTCCTGCTTGCTCCGCTTACAAATGCAGCTGCCTGCTCTTGGCACCTGGGAGGACGCCAGCTGCTGCCCAAGGGACGTGGGCCCTGCCCCCAGGAGGGGACCTGGCAGAGTCCCAGGCTCGTGGCTCTGTGGCCTCATCCTTGCTGCTGTGACCAGTGGACACAGAAGTCACGCCCCCCCCACCCTGGCTCGCTCGCTCGCTCGCTCTGTAATTCTACCTTTAAAGTAAAACAGTACATGTTCAGCAATACGTATTATTTTGTAAAGGCTTAAGGGACAGTGAGGAGGCAGCCACGGCACCCTGGCCCTGGGCAGTCAGGGCTGGTGGGCACAGTGGCCCCTGCAGGAGGACGAGGAGGCCAGGCCACAGCTCCGCTGGCTGTGCCTAAACCATCCCCAGGGGGACGTGTGCAATTATGATGTCATCACACTATGGTATCTGGTGGTGTTGCTGAACTTTATTATTTTTATTTGAAAGGCAGAGCTACAGAGAAAGATCTGCCATCCACTAGCTCACTCCCCAAGTGGCCACAATGGCCAGAGCTGAGCTGGTCCAACACCAGGAGCCAGGAGCCTCTTCCGGGTCTCCCACGCAGGCGCAGGGTCCCAAGGCTGTGGGCCGTCCTCCACTGCTTTCCCAGGCCACAGACAGGGAGCTGGGTGGGAAGTGGAGCAGTTGGGACACAAACCGGTACGCACATGGGCTCCTGGTACTTGGAGGAGGGTTAGCTGACCAAGCCATTATGCTGGGCCCTTAGAAGATGTTTTGAGATGTATTGATCTGGGGGCCCAACCTGAAGGCCCAGTGTAAATCCTTGCCTTGCACTCCCCGCCATGTGCACGGGGCAGGCCTCCACATCCTTCCATCGCACCCCAGGCTTCAGCCAGTCACAGCAGAAGCATGCTTGGCAGGAAGACCACCTCTGCCCCAAGTGACACGTACTCTATTCTGTGACGCGCCTTCTCCTTGGCTGGGGGCGTTCCTGGGCCCAGGCCCCCAGCCCCTTCTCCCTGCTCCCCCACCGGGACCTGCCCAAAGGGTGAGCTCATTTCCTCTGGATGCTCCCCAGTTGGGGGACAGACGGCTGGATACAGAGAGAGAGTATGTGTGCGCCCAAAGCGTGCAGCTTGTATTGGAAACATGTCTTTTTAGAACGGGGGCGGGGGAGAGTAGGTTTCCATGCGGTAGAGGCTTTCTGGGCCCGCACGTCGCCGCCCCTTGCCTGGGGTCCCAGGCAGGTCAGCAGGTCCTGTCTCCCTGGTCCAGGCGGTCCCACCGGCAAGCCCGCCGCCCCTGAGCACTCAGGACCATGTGTCCTGCCCTCAGCCTCCCAGCCAGAGGAGCGCCCTGGCCACTGCGCCGGCATTTCCTCCCTGGATGTATCATAGCAGCAGCAGGATATTTTTAGCCAAAGTCTGAAAAGTCTCAGTGTGCCGGGAGCGCATAGCAGACGGGTGAGGTCATGGCCCCCGCCCCCGCCCCTCCGGAGGCCTGCAGCCTTGGCGTGGCGGATGGGGTGGTGACGGAGCCGTGACGGAGCCCCGGAGACCCCGCGCGGGCTGGGGAGGGGCGGCTCCTTGGATGCAGCTTTGTTCATTCACAGGCAGCCATGTGCTGTTTCCAGACGTGTCGGGCGCTCCCAAGGCTGAGCGTCGGCACAGCAGGGTGAGAGGTTTGGTCGGTTCAGGCGCACACACCGTGAGATCCAGGCCTGTGCGGGGGTCGTGCAGAAGTTCACAGGAAACGTACATCATTTAAAAAAAGGCAACCCATGTCTGGGATTCCAAGTGCGTGGGCCCCAAATGAGCGGAACCTGTAGTGCTGTTCCCGGCCTGCACAGACGGGAGGAAGTGCACTCGTGGGTGTGCAGTGCCGCCGCCAAGCTGTCTCTGGATGCCCCCCTACCCCAGCTGGGCTGTCAGGTTGGGGGCGAGGAGGGTACAGAGCCTTGGCATAGCGGGCTGCTCCTCTGCCTGTGGTACCAGGATCTCATATGGCCACCAGGTTGAGTCCCGACAGCTCCACTTCCCATCCAGCTCCCTGCCTGTGGCCTGGGAAAGCAGTGGAGGATGGCCCAAAGCCTTGGGACCCTGCACCCACATGGGAGACCCGGAAGAGGCTCCTGGCTTTCCCCGTTGTTGCTGTTTGTGGAGTGAGGTGGTGGACGAAGACTGCGAGTGTGTGTGTGTGTCCCTCTGCCTTCTGAGTAGACAAGTCTTTAACGAAGCTGGACCATCGCATACACTCAAGTCCGAGAGACATCGTGGCCTGCCTCACCCCGGCTGCACTCTCTCCAGCAGCCCTTTCACCCCTCCACCCCAGCATGTCCAGCCGGGGGCAGCAGCTGGGCTGCAGGGGAAGCCCCCAGGGAGTCGATCGCCCCCTTCTGAGAACTCGGCCCTTGTGTCCCCCCACCCCCGCAGGCTTTCGGGAATGCCAAGACTGCGCACAACAACAACTCCAGCCGCTTTGGGAAGTTTATCCAAGTCAACTACCTGGAGAGTGGCATCGTGCGAGGGTGAGGGGCAGCCCAGGGCCGGATTGGGGCTCGGGGCGTGCCTGGGGCCAGACGGGTGGGTGGGGAGGGGACCCTGCCACAGCTGGAACTGGCATACTCTGATGCCATGTGGCGGCAGGAGTGCAGGGAGGCGGGATGCTGGCCAGCAGTGAGAGCCAGTTGTCCAGCTTAGGGCGAGGGGCAGATGAATGCATGGGTGGACATGTGGACGGGTGCCCGTGCAGGTGGGTGATGGGTGACGTGTGGATGGGTGCACGTGGGTGATGGGTGACGTGTGGACGGGTGCCCATGCAGGTGGGTGATGGGTGGGTGGACTGGTAGCTGGATGAACAAATGTGTGGTTTTGTGGGTGACTGGGATAGTAGCTGAGGGGTCAGTCAGTAGCCTCCTGTCGAAGGGGGATGGGGAGGGGGCTGGCAAGGACCATTGAGCAAGTCCAGTGGCCGTCACCATTGCTGTTGCACTTTGGGGCCTTTGTGAAGTAAACAGTTCGCACCCCAGTTCTCTGGTAGCAGGCTGACCAAGCCGACTGGGAGCAGTGGGCTCTCACGTGACTAGCAGGTGGGCCGGGGCACCCTCACAGCTGCCCCCTGCCTAACCCCTCTATACCCCTCTGCTTCTGGAATTCTCCACGTACCTCACAGGCATCTGAAGTCCTGGATCTGAAAAGTCCAGCGAGGCAGGGGTTCCCAGGGGTTTCCGGAATGTTCCTGAGGCCCCTGGGACAGTTGTTGTTCCAGAAACATCCTCCCTTTGCTGTTACACGCAGAGCAGCCAACTCCAATACCCCAAACCCAGAAGGCTCCGGCATCTGAAACCCTGTGGGCATCCACGTGATGCCACGAGTGGGAAACTCCACAGCCTGGCCATGTAACAGTCAAGTACAGGCTGACCCCAAGACCCGGAACCCAAAAGGCTCCAGCATCTGAAACCCTGTGGGCATCCACGTGATGCCACGAGTGGGAAACTCCACAGCCTGGCCATGTAACAGTCAAGTACAGGCTGACCCCAAGACCCGGAACCCAAAAGGCTCCAGCATCTGAAACCTTGTGGGTACCTATGCGTACCATGAGTGGGAAACTCCACAGCCTGGCTATGTGACAGGTCACGCCGTCAGCACCCAGAATGCAGGACAGCGCAGTTCAGGTGATGTCCCTGAGGGGGCAGGCCCCACCAGGCCAGCGCCCCCTTCAGCCACAGCGCAGACACAAAAGGAATCTGTTCTCATGCGGAGTTAATCACGTGGAGTCACCTTGGGCCATGTATAGGAGGTATCTGTGGGGCGGACATGGCCCTCCCTGGTACCCAGGGTCCCGGGTGGCAGGTTTGCAGCCTGTAGCGGGGTGGGCGATGGGGGCTCCTCAGGGAGTTTGCAGAAGTGGGGAGCCCCACAGGGAGCTTGCAGAAACGGGAGGATCAGCTGGTACCTAGCCTGTGCCCCGCCCTGGCTCCTGAGCCCACTCTCAGCTGGCACACCCTTAGAAGCAGCAGGTGGTAACTCGGGGAGCTGCACGGCCAGCTTTGGGTAGAGTCTCCAGCCCCCAGCCCTGACCCAGCTCCACCCCAGCTGTCGCAGGCATCAGAGGTGTGGGCCGGCTGGCAGAGCCCTAGCTTCTCTCATCCCTCACGAGGCTCTTGTGTCTTGGATGAGTGAAAAATGAAAAGGGAAATCCCAGACTCGGCGAAGGCAGCTGCCCCTCACAGATCAGCCAGGGACTCTTGAGGTGGCCGTTTCCTGGCTCCTGGCTTTGCCGGCCCAGTCCTGACTATTGGAGACATTTGCTGAGTGACCAGTGGATGGAAGCTCTCTTCCTGCTCCCTTCCTCCCCCTCTCCCTCTGTCAGGATGAATCCTGACTGGCATCTAGAACCCGCAGGACATTTATCGCTTAGTGATGGGGGCTGACTCCCCAGAAAGGAAGCAAGACTTGAACAGAAGTCCCAGCCGAAGAGCGACAGACGGCCAGCGTGCGCGGGGCGGCCGCGTGGCCGAGCTGGCTGTGGTCTGTGCGTAGATGGGGCAGTGCCTCCGCCACGAAGGGGTTCAAGTTGTCTTTTTACTAATTTAAGAGGGAGAGTTAGAGAAAGAGAAGCACATCATCCAACCCACTGATTCACCCCTACTGGGAGTGCGTCACCAGGGCCGGGCCCAGGAACCCGGAGCTGCGTCCGGATCTCGCACGGGAATGGCCAGCGGCCCAAGTCCGTGGGCGTCCTCTGAGCACGAGCAGGGAGCCGGGCCATAGTGGAGGGGCTGGACTGGAACCTGCACTCTCACGGGATGTAGGAATTGTAGGCAACAGCCTAACTCTCACCCTACCACAATGCCAGCACCCCTGATCTTTTTAAGACTGATCTATTTTCATTAGAAAGGCAGATTTACAGAGAGGAGGAGAGAAAGATCTTCCATCTACTGGTTCGCTCCCCGAACGGCTGCTACGGCTACAGCTGAGCCAGTCCAAAGCCAGGAGATTCTTCCGGGTTTCCACACGCGTGCAGGGTCCCAAGGCTTTGGGCCGTCCTCCACTGCTTTCCCAGGCCACAGGCAGGGAGCTGGGTGGGAAGTGGAGCAGCCGGGATACGAACTGGCACCCATATTCCCATTGCATTGCCAGCGCCTGCAAGGGAAGGATTAGGCAGTTGAGCCAGTGCATCTGCTCCCCCAACCATGGATGGGACAAGGTGGCATTCACAGGTGTGACTGCGTTTGTGACATGTGCCCGCGTGTGTGTGTGCGCCTCCTGCCCCAGGCAGCCAGTCTGGCACTGAGGGGCACCCTGTGTAACTAGCAGTGTGTGGAACCATAGCCGTTCCGACAATCCGTATTGAACTGTGACCCACGGCCGCACCTCTCTCCCATGGCAGGGCTGTGGTCGAGAAGTACCTGCTGGAAAAATCGCGTCTGGTCTCTCAGGAGAAAGATGAGCGGTGAGGACCAACTTCCGGAGGGATGGGGGGGGGCACAGGGCAGGGGGCTCCATGTCCATGTTAACGCCTCCCGCAGCTGGGACGGGCATGGGGGCACTGTGTCCATGTCCGCCCTCCCCCAGCTGGAACAGGCATGGGAGCTCTGTGTCCATGTCAGGGGTTCTGTGTCCATGTCCACCCTCCCCCAGCTGGGACGGCCAGGGGCACTGTGTCCATGTCAGCCCTCCCCCAGCTGGGACAGGCATGGGAGCTCTGTGTCCATGTCAGGGGTTCTGTGTCCATGTCCACCCTCCCCTGGCCGTTCCCTGGCACAGGCACTCAGATTTTTACCCAGAAATGTGATCCGATTCCGCACATCAGTGATGGGCAAATCAGACCAACCCCCACACCCCCACTTCCTAAATCCAGGTCCTTCTCTCCCTGAGACTTTGTGAGAACCGCCCTCCCTTTGTGGGATGTGTATGCGCTGGGGTGTCTCCCTGCATGGCGAGTTGTGCCCCTGGCAGGCGTGAATGAATGAACTCTGCTTGGAGAAGCAACAGATGAGACACGTGCACATGCCCAGCACATGCACACCTGTCCACATACACATGTGTGTCCTACAGACACACACCCACACACGCCTAGACAGACACACACCGACACACACCTGCACCTGGGGGCGTAGGCTCCATGTCCGTGTCAGCTCCTCCCCCGGCTGGGATGGCAGGGGGCTCCCAGGTCCTACACCTGCACACACACATGCACGCCTGTCCAGGTACACACACACACACACACACACCCAGCCCTGGGGCTGCTGCCACAAGCGACCTTCTCCCTCCTGGCCTGCCCTGCAGCAACTACCACGTCTTCTATTACCTGTTACTCGGCGTCAACGAGGAGGAGCGTCAAGAATTTCAGCTAAAGCAACCCGAAGATTATTTCTACCTCAACCAGGTAGCGCCCCCCAGACCCCCATTAAGGAGCCCCCTCAGGCGCCTGGGCCAGCACCGCCTCTGTCCCGAGACGCCAACATGCCCTTGTCTTCCAGCACAACTTGAAGATCGAGGACAGGGAGGACTTGAAGCATGACTTCGAGAGGCTGAAGCAGGCCATGGAGATGGTGGGCTTCCTGCCGGCCACCAGGAAGCAGTGAGTGGGCGCAGGGCCGGGTGCTGGGACCAGGGGTGGGAGTCAGGCCATGGAGATGGTGGGCTTCCTGCCGGCCACCAGGAAGCAGTGAGTGGGCGCAGGGCCGGGTGCTGGGACCGGGGGTGGGAGTCAGGCCATGGAGATGGTGGGCTTCCTGCCGGCCACCAGGAAGCAGTGAGTGGGCGCAGGGCCGGGTGCTGGGGCTGGGGGTGGGAGTCAGGCCATGGAGATGGTGGGCTTCCTGCCGGCCACCAGGAAGCAGTGAGTGGGCGCAGGGCCGGGTGCTGGGACCGGGGGTGGGAGTCAGGCCATGGAGATGGTGGGCTTCCTGCCGGCCACCAGGAAGCAGTGAGTGGGCACCTGCTTACTGCCATGAAATGACCACAGTGGGCAGAGCCTGGCCATGCCAGAGCTTGGAGCTCCATCTGGGGTCTCCTAAGTGGGTTTGGGGGCCCTGAGCACTTGAACCTTCCCCCGCTGCCTCCCGGGGTGAGCTAGACAGGAAGCCGAGCTGGGGTGGGAAGCCCAGCATGCCAGCACAGGACGCAAGGTGCCCCCCACCCACCACACCCCACCACTGTCTCGCGACAGTTACAAAGCCTTTCTGCGCAGTCTCATCCGGCACAGCCGCCACGCTGGCGGGTGGTGGGGACGCGCCGGGGCTAGGGTCCTGTGCATCTGGGAGGGCACAGGTGGCACAGCCACACACACATGGTCAGAAGGGATGGCAGATGCCCCAAGCAACAGGAGCATGCACACAGCACCCGCAGCGCACCCTTAGCGGCTGTCCGCCCTGGGCTCGTCCCATTCCAGGGACAAGTCCTAAAGAAACGGGCTTGTCAGGGGATAGCACGCTGGCGCCAGCCCTGAAAACACCTACCAGGCTGAGAAGTGTGGGCCAGGAGGGCTGCGTGGCGTGCCACCATGTCTCCCAGAGCCACAGTGAGCAGAGCAGCTCACTGTGAGTGATGTCAGGGTGAGGCAGGTGGGTGTACCCAGGGTGAGGTCCCCACCCTCCCGCCCTGCCCTTGTCATCTGGGACGCGTCATTAGCAACAGGGGCAGTTGGAAGGGGTGTCAGGTGAGTGGGTGGCCAGGAAGCGGTGCCCCAGCTTTAATGGCCAGTCCCAAGCCGGACATGGTATTCTTGGAAGCTAGCGGCAGGGCAGGCGTTTCTGTCCATCGTCGACGGTGTCTCGCAGGCTCCGCAGCAGAGCGCAGCTCTGACCCTCCTCTGACACACACCCTGGAGGGCGCAGTCACGGCTCAGGGACCCTGGCATGGTGGCATAGTGGGTGCCACCTACCGTACCAGCAAGCCACCCAGACTCAGATTCCATTGCAAGTTCCCACTGACATCCCGGGAGGGCAACAGAGGGAGGCCCAGGCTGCTCGCTGGAGAATACCAGGTTCAGGTGCCAGCCCCGTGCTCCATGCCAGCTTCTCGCCGGGACACAGCCAGTGGTGGCCCTGCCCTGCCCACTTGTAAGACCTGCATTCAGTTTGTTTTTAAGACCGACATATTGAGTGAAAGGCAGGCAAAGACGAAAGAGAGAAGAGGATGTTGTACCCACTGGTTCACTCCCAGAATGGCCACATGGGTGAGGGCGACTTCGTCTGGGTCTCCCCCATGGGTAGCAGGGGTTCAGGGAGCCGGGCCGTCCTCCGCTGCTTTCCCGGGCACGTTACCAGGGAGCCGGGCCGTCCTCTGCTGCTTTCCCGGGCACGTTACCAGGGAGCCGGGCCGTCCTCCGCTGCTTTCCCGGGCACGTTACCAGGGAGCCGGGCCGTCCTCCGCTGCTTTCCCGGGCACGTTACCAGGGAGCTGGGCTGGGAGTGGAACAACTGGGACTCGAACTGGCACCCATTTTGGATGCGGGCACCCTAGGGTGGAAGGTTAACCTTTTGGGCCATGGCATCGGCCGCAGGTTTGAGCTCTTGCTTCTTGTCTCAGCCTGGCCGAGTCCCAGCCACGGGGGGATGTGGGGGCAAATCGACCAAGGATGGGAGAGTGTCCCTCCCATTTCACCATCTGCCTTTTTTTTTTTTATAAAGATTTATTTTATATTTATTGCAAAGCCAGATATACAGATAAGAGGAGAGACAGAGAGAAAGATCTTCTATCCAATGATTCACTCCCCAAGCGACCACAATGGCTCGTGCTGCGCCGATCCGAAGCCAGGATCCAGAAACTTCTTCCGGGCCTCACCCACTCCCACTGCCCTTCGTAGGATCTTCTCCATCCTGTCAGCCATCCTGTACCTGGGCAATGTCACCTACAAGAAGAGGGCCACAGGCCGCGACGAAGGCCTGGAAGTGGGGCCCCCAGAGGTCCTGGACACGCTGTCCCAGCTTCTGAAGGTAACTCCCGCTGCCAGCATCCTCGCGGTGTGGGGTACACAGCACCAGAACCGGTGGCATTGGCAGGGTTCAGTCACCCAGGGCATGCTGCCAGCATCCTCCCCACCACTACCGCCACTCCCCACGGCCCTGTCTGCTTCCATGCCCCCAACACCGCTGGCCGGCAGCACCTCCTTCCCACCTTCGGCCCTGGCAGCAGGCAGAAGCTGAGAAGGCGTGGCTCATCAGTGCAGTCAGTAGCTTAGGGGACCTTGTCATCCCCGGGTTCCAGCACTACACAGTGAGGGCACCCCAAGGGGCCAGCAGGCCGTGTGGCTGGAGCGGTCGTTGGGCGCTCCTGGCCTCTGCTGGGTAGAGACCAGGCCTGCTGCGCCCACAGGACGGCCCCCATGTCCTGGAGGCCTTATCCTCTCTCACCCCACCCCCTAACGTGCCCCAGCCACATATGCCAGTGCATCTGCGGGGGCCAGTTCTGGAACCTTCCTGGGATGTGCCCGGGTGCTGTATGCTGGGGACCCTGCAGCCTGGGGAGCCATCTCGTCTCCCACCTTCCTCCACCCACTCCCTCAGCACACACCTGCTCAGCTCCCTTCTCACCTTGAAACAGGTGAAGCGAGAAATCCTGGTGGAAGTTCTGACCAAGAGGAAAACGGTGACGGTCAATGACAAACTCATCCTTCCTTATAGCCTCAGCGAGGTGAGCCCCACCCCACGCGGGGGTGCAGTGAGAGGGGCCCCACCCCACGCGGGGGTGCAGGGAGAGGGGCCCCACCCCACGTGGGGGGGTGCAGGGAGAGGGGCCCCACCCCACACGCTGGGGTGCAGGGAGAGGGGCCCCACCCCACACGGGGGGTGCAGGGAGAGGGGCCCCACCCGAGAGGAAGACCCGCGGGTCAGGGGCAGGGACCCCTGGGACCCCCGTGTGTGCAGACCCAGAGCCCCGAGTCCACCCGTGTGAGACGCCCCCCATGCACACCCTATGTGTCCTCAGGCCATCACTGCTCGCGACTCCATGGCCAAGTCCCTGTACAGCGCCCTGTTCGACTGGATCGTGCTGCGCATCAACCACGCCCTGCTCAACAAGAGAGACATGGAGGAGTCGGTCTCGGTGAGACTCCCTGCCCCAGCCGGGGCATCGGGCCGGGCAGCGTGGTGGCTGGCTCAGCGCAGCCAGAGCTTGGGTCGGTGTAGGCCTGGGTGCAGCAGGGCACGGCTCAGATCCTCTGGCCCCTTGCCACCTGTGTGGGACAGGCTCCTGGCTTTAGCCTGACCCAGCCCAGGCCGTTGCTGGCAGTGGCAGATCCATCAGTCCCTCTCATCAGTATTTTGGGGGAAAAAGACATATGAGACACAGTCACCTTCGAGAAAATTTTGCTAGATTTACATATTTTCATTTGAGAGACAAATCAACAGAGAGAAAAAGACACAGAGAGTGATCGTCCAACGGCCGGAGCTGAGCCGATCCAAAGCCAGGAGCCAGGAGCTTCCTCCGGGTCTCCCCCGCGGGTGCAGGGTCCCAAGGCTTTGGGCCGTCCTCAACTGCTTTCCCAGGCCACAGGCAGGGAGCTGGATGGGAAGTGGAGCTGTCGGGATTAGAACCTGCGCCCATATGGGCTGCTGGTGCTTAGAGGCGAAATGTTAGCCACTGAGCCAGGTGCACCACCTCCCTAGAGAATATTACAAAACAGAGAGAAGGGGCTGCTGCTGCTCAGGCAGGTCCCGGGACCTTGATGGGGCACCTAGACGGGCAGCCCCGAATATGCAGCCGCATTTGGGGCAGAGGAGGGGAGGAGGCGCTGGTGGTGACCCCGGCCCTCCCCAGTGCCTGTCCATCGGCGTCCTGGACATCTTTGGCTTTGAGGACTTCGAGAGGAACAGCTTTGAGCAGTTCTGCATCAACTATGCCAACGAGCAGCTTCAGTACTACTTCAACCAGCACATCTTCAAACTGGAGCAGGTGGGTGGCGCGTGTGTGTGTCTCCGTGTGTCCTGGGGGCACTGCTGTGCTGGAGCAGGTGGGCGGCGTGTGTGTGTCTCCGTGTGTCCTGGGGGCACTGCTGTGCTGGAGCAGGTGGGTGGCACGTGTGTGTGTCTCCGTGTGTCCTGGGGGCACTGCTGTGCTGGAGCAGGTGGGTGGCACGTGTGTGTGTCTCCGTGTGTCCTGGGAGCACTGCTGTGCTGGAGCAGGTGGGTGGCGTGTGTGTGTCTCCGTGTGTCCTGGGGGCACTGCTGTGCTGGAGCAGGTGGGTGGCGTGTGTGTGTCTCCGTGTGTCCTGGGGGCACTGCTGTGCTGGAGCAGGTGGGTGGCGTGTGTGTGTCTCCGTGTGTCCTGGGGGCACTGCTGTGCTGGAGCAGGTGGGCGGCGTGTGTGTGTCTCCGTGTGTCCTGGGGGCACTGCTGTGCTGGAGCAGGTGGGTGGCACGTGTGTGTGTCTCCGTGTGTCCTGGGGGCACTGCTGTGCTGGAGCAGGTGGGTGGCGCGTGTGTGTGTCTCCGTGTGTCCTGGGGGCACTGCTGTGCTGGAGCAGGTGGGTGGCGTGTGTGTGTCTCCGTGTGTCCTGGGGGCACTGCTGTGCTGGAGCAGGTGGGTGGCACGTGTGTGTGTCTCCGTGTGTCCTGGGGGCACTGCTGTGCTGGAGCAGGTTGGTGGCACGTGTGTGTGTCTCCGTGTGTCCTGGGAGCACTGCTGTGCTGGAGCAGGTGGGCGGCGTGTGTGTGTCTCCGTGTGTCCTGGGGGCACTGCTGTGCTGGAGCAGGTGGGTGGCGCGTGTGTGTGTCTCCCTGTGTCCTGGGGGCACTGCTGTGCTGGAGCAGGTGGGCAGCGTGTGTGTGTCTCCGTGTGTCCTGGGAGCACTGCTGTGCTGGAGCAGGTGGGCGGCGCGTGTGTGTGTCTCCGTGTGTCCTGGGAGCACTGCTGTGCTGGAGCAGGTGGGCGGCGCGTGTGTGTGTCTCCGTGTGTCCTGGGGGCACTGCTGTGCTGGAGCAGGTGGGCGGCGTGTGTGTGTGTCTCCGTGTGTCCTGGGGGCACTGCTGTGCTGGAGCAGGTGGGTGGCGTGTGTGTGTCTCCGTGTGTCCTGGGGGCACTGCTGTGCTGGAGCAGGTGGGTGGCGTGTGTGTGTCTGGAGCAGGTGGGTGGCGCGTGTGTGTGTCTCCGTGTGTCCTGGGAGCACTGCTGTGCTGGAGCAGGTGGGTGGCGCGTGTGTGTGTGTCTCCGTGTGTCCTGGGAGCACTGCTGTGCTGGAGCAGGTGGGTGGCGCGTGTGTGTGTGTGTCTCCGTGTGTCCTGGGGGCACTGGTGTGTCTGAGGTCTGACCCTTGCCCCACCCCGCAGGAGGAGTACCAGGCAGAGGGCATCACCTGGCACAACATTGACTACACCGACAATGTGGGCTGCATCCACCTCATCAGCAAGAAGCCCACGGGCCTCTTCTACCTGCTGGACGAGGAGAGCAAGTGAGTGGCCTGGGTGCAGACCGCCCCGAGCCCTGCCGCTAAGCCCCACCCTGAGCCCCGCCCGCCGCGAGGGGGGCGCATCAGAGCCACTCAGCCATGTTCTGTTTGTTTGATTTAAGATGTATTTATTTATTTGGGTGCCTGGACAATGACTCAATAACTAAATCCTTATCTTGCACATGTCAGCATCCCACATGGGCACCAGTTCATATCCTGGCTCCCCATTTCCCATCCGTCTCCCTGACTTGGGAGACCCGGAAGAAGCTCCTGGCTCCTGGCTTTGGATCAGCTCAGCTCCAGCTGTCACAGCCTCTTGGGGAGTGAGCCAGCAAATGGAAGATCTTTGTCTCCTTCTCTCTAAATATCTAATCTGCTTTTCCAGTAAAAGCAAACAAATCTTTAAAACAATTTACTGGTTTTTGTTGGAAAGGCAGATTTACAGAGAGAAAGGTCTCCCATCTGCTGGATCACTTTCCCAAATGGCTGCAGTGGCCGAAGCTGAGCTGATCCAAAGCCAGGAGCCAGCAGCCTCTTCCGGGTCTCCCACGCGGGTGCAGGGTCCCAAGGCTTTGGGCCGTCCTCCACTGCTTTCCCAGGCCACAGGTAGGGAGCTGGATGGGAAGTGGAGCAGCCGCGACATAATCCAGTGCCCATATGGGATGCTAGTGCTTGCAGTTGGAGGATTAGCCAGCTGTGCCAGAGCGCCAGCCCTCTTCTCAGCCTGTTTACCAAGTGTGTATGTGATGAAGCAGCGTGTGCACGGTGTGTCTGTAGTGCAGCCACCTGGGCCTGCACCCACCTTCCTGGGCATCCCTGGGTTCCTGCACAGGGAAGGCGGGCAGGACCAAGCCCCCGCTGCCACACTGGTGGCTGCCCAACAGCAGCTCACAGCAGTACCCTGCCCCATCACTGACTTCCTTGTGCCCCGGGAAGACAGCTGCCCCAAAGTGAGGCGGCCAGCGGGGGCCACACCTGCCCTGGGAGGATCCTCCTGGGGGATGGAACGTGCCTTGGCTAGTGGCTGCCGCGGCTCCAGCCCCTGCTGGCCCCAGCTCCTGGTCCCCTTCTCTGTATGCTGGCCTGGGGCCCGCCCACCAACACCATCTTCATGGATTACAGCTGCAAAGACCTGATGTCCAGATCTGGTCACCATCACGGGTCTCAGAGAGTGAGACAGAGTCACTGTCGGCCTCCCCTTTGCCAAAGATGTCCCTGCAGGACTGGGCAGAGCCTGGCACGGGCCATCGCGACCCTCATCTTGAGCCAAAGGCAGGAGGGGCCAGTGTGTGACACACAGCCAGTTAGATCGCTGCCCGTGACGCTGGCATCTATAGGAGCTCAAGGTCGCGACTTTCACGGGAACAGAACTGTTCCGTCACTGCTGCGGCCAGCACCCAGGTCGCGTGCAGAGTGCCCAGGGTGAGGCGGACCTGGCTCCTCTCCCTCGGGAAGCTCCCAGCCCCAGCAAGGCAGCCGTGTGCGCCCCTGTGTGTTATTTACAGCCTTGCTCTTTTGGCTCCTTGTGGAAATTGTTTTCCCCCATTGATCTGAATTTCTCTCCCCACAGCTGGGGGTGTGTGTATGTGTGTGTGTGTGTGTCCCCGTGTCTGTCCATGCATGCGGAGGGGCCAGTCTCCCTGCGCTGCCCGGGTCCTTGGAACCCTGCGTTTGCAGCATCCGCCGCTGTAGAATCTGCCTTCTCCTGGCTGCTGGGAGCCAGGCAGCTCACACAGCCACTCTCACACAGCCCTACCCGCATGCAGACACACGCACACGGCCACACACACACAGCCCTACCCACACACACACACGGCCACATGCACATAGTCCTACCTGCACACACTCCCCGCCCATGCTGGCACTCATGTCCACTACAGGGTGTGTCCGAGCCCACGCAGCCCTCCTGGGATACAATCATAGCCAGAGACAAGGAGTCCCTTCTGCCCTGTGCAGGAGTGTGAACAGAGCCCGGCTTCCACCAGAGAGGGTGTACCCCCATACCCCCTGAGGCCAGCCCTGCCTGGGGTTATGCTAGCAGGATGCTGGCAGCCCTTGTGGTAAGCTCAGATGTGGGCCTGGCTGAGTCTGAGCAGTCAGCACCGAGCCCACCCCCTTGCCCCCCAGGAAACAGCCCTGGTGCTGTGAGCCACGCTGACACGACGCCCTGCAGGTCCCACCATGTCTGTCTCTGTGCCTCTGCCCACGGACCCCACACCGACCTCACACTGACCCCACCTGCTTGCCAGGAGCCCCCCTTCCGCCTCCCACCTGACAGGTGGCCGCTGAGTCTCCACTTGCCTTCCAGCTTCCCCCACGCCACAAGCCAGACCCTGCTGGCCAAGTTCAAGCAGCAGCATGAGGACAACAAGTACTTCCTGGGCACCCCGGTCATGGAGCCCGCGTTTATCATCCAGCACTTTGCGGGCAGAGTCAAGTACCAGATTAAGGTGTGTCCTGCCCACCTGCCTGCCACCTCCCACCCCCGGGCCAGTGGCCAGGATAGAAGGGGGACAGACAGAGGGACAGACAGAGGGGGCCTGCCCCTCACACCAAGGCAGATGGGGACCATAGGGGCCTGCCTGCCACCTCTCACTCCTGGGCCAGCAGCCAGGGCAGGCAAGAGGACCATAGGGGCCTGCCCCTCTTGCCAGGCCATCAGCATGCAGCAGGGGCCTGCCCCTTATCCCCGGGCCGGCAGCCAGGGCGTGCAGGGGGACAGCGGGGGCCTGCCCCTTACCCCTGGGCCAGAAGCCAGGGCGTACAGGGAGCAATGGAGGACCCTCCCCCTCTGGCCCAGGCTTTGGGGGTCCATGGCTGCACAGGAAGGGTGTCCATCCCATCCCGTTGCCCACATTGCCCGTGGAGTGCCTCAGGCAGCTTCCAGAGGGTTCTAATCGAGGATCAGCCTGGGCAGGGGGCAGCACTTCCTGGCAGCCGAGCCCTGGCGTAGCGCAGGGCGTGCAGTGGCGCCAGACACACAGGCGTCTGTCTGAAGCCACCAGGCCTGGGTGCTGGGACCACCCCTCACACCCTAGGCAGGCCCGACCTACTCCAACTCCCACAGCCTCGAGCTGACCGCCCACCCGCTCCCACCACCCCCAGGACTTCCGGGAGAAGAACATGGACTACATGCGGCCGGATATCGTGGCCCTCCTGCGGGGCAGTGACAGCTCTTACGTGCGTGAGCTCATTGGCATGGACCCTGTGGCCGTGTTCCGCTGGGCCGTGCTGCGCGCCGCCATCCGCGCCATGGCCGTGATGCGGGAGGCTGGGCGCCTGAGGGCCGAGAGGGCCGAGCAGACCGCAGGTATGGTCCAGCTGCTGCCCACCATGGCCCCCAGACCGCCCCTGGGCCCCAGCCGCTTTGGATGTGTAAAAAGGGCAAGATGGGGGAGACCGGCATTCCGTCCACAGGTTCAGTCCCTTAACAGCCAGGGCTGGGTCCAGCCAGAGTCAGGGACTCCATTCACATCGTGAGGCTGCCAGGGGCCCGAGTGCTGGAGCCAGGACCTGGGACTTGAACCCAGCCACTGCACCAGAGCCCCAGCCCAGGATCCTTTTCTATAAAAGATCCATTTATTATGAAAGGCAGATTTATATAGAGAGGGAGACAGAAAGGTCTTCCACCTGCTGGTTCACTCCCCAAGTGGCCGCAGTGGCCAGAGCTGAGCCGATCAGGAGCCAGGAGCCTCTTCCGGGTCTCCCACACGGATGCAGGGTCCCAAGACTCAGCCGTCCTCCATTGCTTTCCCAGGCCACAGGGCAGGGAGCTGGGTGGGAAGCGGGGTGGCCAGAACGCGAACCAATGTTCTGATAAAGGGATGCCCCTCCAGTGCCAGCCGTTCCGGTGGTAACAGAACCCACTGTCCACAACATGGACCCCCCAATTATAATATTTAAGAAAGTATGAAAGGCCTCCTCAGAAAAGTATATATGTGCTTCCACTGTGCCCAGCAGGCGTGGGCAGTCCCAGTGCCCGAAGTCAGCCGGGAGACCTGCCAAGAGGAGCTGGCACCCCGTCGGAAAAGCTGTACCGGTGAGCGAGCCCCTGGTGTGTCCCAGTGGAGCTGCCAGGCCTGAGAAGAACCCCACTTCCTACACCTCGAATGAGCTCCCAGGTAGCAGGTAGCTGGCACCATCAGGTGGCCCTGTCGGCCAAGGCGCCCGTTTTCAGCCTGCAGTGGGCCCTGCCCAGTCTCCTGTGCTCCCCGCAGGACCATAAGGCTAGGTACACAGCCTCATGCTCCCGACACCTGAGTGAGTGAGCCAGGCCGGCAGGTGTGTGTGCAGAGGCCCTGGAATAGCCGCTGTCCCCGTTGTCTCAGCAGGTGTGCCCATATTCCATTGCTCTGTGTTTGAGCCCTCTGTCAGGATGACCCCCCTAACCCCCTAGCATGCAGGTGTTGGTGGTCCAGCTGGCTGCGGGGTGAGTGAGGGCAGGGCCAGAGCCAGTGCTGTGTCCTCCAGCCACGCGTGTGCTTCTCCCAGCAAGCCGCACGGCAGGAGAACGCCTTTCCTTGTGCCCCTCATTCCACCAGCACCCCAGGGCCCGGCCCCCTGAGTTCCCACGGCTTCTCCGTGTGTGGGGTGGTTGCTCTGTGCCCCCCGTTGCACCAGCACCCCAGGGCCCGGCCCCCTGAGTTCACACGCTTCTCCTTGCAGCTGCTCAGTACTAGATTATTCAGGTGACGGCTCTGACGAGTTCGATATTAACGCTTTTGAGGACATCATTGCTTTCTATGAAAGCAAGAAGTAAGTGGCAGCAAGGGAGGGCCTTCACCACCGTCCGCCCCGAGACCAGGGAGGCACGCCGAGAAGAGCTGCTCCCCAACCGAGGGCGACAGCCAGCCAGGCCCTGGAGAAACGGGGCGCTGGCCCCCCCGGGCCACCGGGGCAGAGGGGCTGGGACGGGGAGGCAGGAACCCCGTGTGGTCGCAGTCCTGTGCCTCCCTGCAGTGCGAGGGAGCGGAGGTGAGAGGCCCTCTCCACGCCCCCACGCCCATCCCCAGGCACTGCGCAAGGTGCATGGATCACAGCAAGGGTCTGCTGGGGTGGGGGCTCCCTGTCCCTGCGCCCCACCACACCCAGAGCTGAAACACACCTTCCCCGAAGCCCCAACGTCCCCAATGTCCCCAGTGGATGTCTGCACAGGGCGTCCGGGTGCAAGGCCCCAAGCTGCTGTCTCTCAGACGTGGGCATTCCAGAGCCCAAGCCCACACCCTCCCTGTCCCACACTCACCAGCGGCCAGACAGCAAGACCCCTAGTGTCTTGGAACACACGTGGACGCCCCTGGCAGGGAGAAGGGGCTGGTGCCGCCTTCCCCCGTCACCCATTTGAGCCATCCTGCCCATTCCCACCTCACGTGCGCTGCAATCTGGCCACCCAGAACAGGTGGGCATTGGCCACAGAACCTTCCAGACTTGGCTATCTGAGCTGAGCCACTCAGGTGAAGCATTCCCTTCCCCAAAGTTTCTTTTTTGTTCTGTGCCTCCACACCATGGCCGAGTTGAGCCTGGTCCCCCTACCATCCTACCCCCTCTACATCCAGCCTCGTGTTTCAGCTCTGGGGGTTGGGAGCGGGTCTGGGGGACCCCAGGTGGCGGGCCCATGGCTCTAACTGTCCTCTCTCTGTCACTGCGCCCTTCCCCCTCCGCCCTCAGTGACTTGCATAACCAAATCATCCGGAGCATCAAGGGGCTGCCCTGGCAGGGCGAGGACCCCCGTAGGCTCCTGCAGTCCCTCAGTCGGCTCCAGAGGCCCCGTGCCGCCTTCCTGTGAGTGCCCCTGCCCCGGGCCAGGCCCAGCTGCCAAGTGCCACTGACTGCCTGCTGCCCTGCGGCTTTGCGCTGCTGCCCCTGGGCCCCTGTCGCTACGCAGCGCCCCCCACCCTGCCTGCTCCCCCGACACACACACACACACACACACACACACGGACATGGAGGGTGGGGGACCTTGCTTGCAGCACTGTGCACACACACACACACACACACACACTGCCATCTCTCCGTCTCGGCCGGTTCCTCCCTGGCCATGATAAGTAGCCCCAACCTGGCTGAGCCGAGAGGTGCCCACAGCTCAGGGTCCTGTCTGCCCCCTTGTGGTGAGGCCCACCACCCCGGTCAGAGACAGGAAGGGGAGCAGAGGAGTGAGATGTCCAGTGTGTGGTGAGGGGGTCAGCAGGAGCCCTTATGGCAGGAACTCGGCCACCACAGGGACCATTATACATCCCCAGCCCTGCACACGGGATCCCCTGGCGGCCTCAGGCAGCCCCTGGCGCCTGGCAGGCAGTGGCCTCGGCCCGTAGGACCTGACCCTGGTTAAGCACGGCCCGGAGCAGCCTTCACCCCACCCCCAGGATGGAGGGGCCCCCGGTGCAGCCGCATTTGTGGGCGGGGGACCCTGGAGGGGATCTCCACATGTTCATGGAAAGTGCAGCTAACAGATCGGGTCCGGGGCTTGGCGTGACCAGTGCCGATCCCACCCCAGAATGCCGGTTCGAGTCCTGGCTGGTCCACTTGCCACATCCTGGGCAGCGGTAGCAGCTGACAGCCTGAGTACTCAGGAGAGCTGTGCTGGCCTGGCAAGTGAACAAGCCAATGGGAGGTTGCTCTCTGGCCTTTCCAATGAAAATAAGCTTTTTTAAAATGAAAAGATTATTGGAGGGGGAAGAATCTTTGTTAAAAAAAAAAAATCGAGGCGTAGCCATTGTCCATGAACTCTGTGGAGGTCCCCCTGGCCCTGGGCCTTCCCCACCGCCCACCCGTGGAGCTGGGCTGCCCAGCTTGGCCACAGGCCTGCTCCAGCACTCTGTGGAGGTCCCCCTGGCCCTGGGCCTTCCCCACCGCCCACCCGTGGAGCTGGGCTGCCCAGCTTGGCCACAGGCCTGCTCCAGCACTCTGGGGGAGCCCCCGGCCCTTGCTCCTGAGCTCTGTCAGCCCCCGAAGCAGGTTCCCCCTTCCCCCTCGGCCCGGGTGCTGGGGGAGCCCGCGGGGCACAGGAGGAGAGGCGGCCAGCGGCCACCTTGTTGCATTGGTGCCTGTCCACTGACCACGCTCCGTGCTCTCTCTCTCTCTCTCTTTGTCTCTCTCTAACCCGCAAGGCGTGGCTTGCTGCACTAACCCAGCTCGCGGACACAGCGCGTGCCCTGTGTTCACAAACCGTTTTTAATATTTTGACAGGAAGAGTAAAGGTATCAAACAAAAGCAGATCCTGCCCAAGGTAAAAGCCCGGGGCGCCCGGGGCTCCCCGCCCCCTCCCCTCCTCCCCCTCCCCCTCGCCAGGGCTACCTCCCTGCACTCTCTTCTCTTCCTTCCACTCCCCCCATCTCCCCCCTCCAGAAACCTTGACTTGCTCTTGGAATGGCACCACTGGGTGCCAGCTCCTGCCAGGTGCAGGGCAAGGGGCTTAGGAAGGGCAAACGCCAGGTCCCAGGCTCAGCCCAGAGGCGTGTCCCACCCAGAGGCCACCTCCAGAGCTCACTGCAGCTAAGGGGCTGGAGTGGCCGCACCAAGCCCTGTGGTGGAGCGACAGACACCATGCAGCGTTCCAGTGCCCGGGGACAGGACGGGGACGCAGCCCTGTGTCCACTTGCTCCAATGCAGGCGCGTCTCCCCTCCCCAGAGGCGGGAGCCAGGGGACCTGGATCTAGTTCTGTATTCTTTGGGGGTGTGGAATAATTGCGTATCTGCGGTGAGGCGTCCAGGGAAGGGACCCGTGTCAACAGCAAGCTGGCTGACATTCACGCTCATTCTGCGTACCCTGCCCAAAGGGGTTTAACGGTGGTTGTTTTTGGTCTCTGTTTTTCTTTAACAATTCTGTGTGTGAAACAAGGCTCTCTGGCCAGACCCACCCACACGTGCGCTCCCACTGGCAGGTCCTTCTGGTCTGGGCCGAGCCCACCAGACTGTGCCCGCGGGTTATCATGTCCCCCAACAATGATGGGAGTGTGGGCTGGTGCTGGCAGCTGCAGTCTGTAAGCCGGGGCGTGTCCCGGGGCCAGGGGAGGACAGGGCAGACCCCGTGCATGTCCCTTCCAGAACCTCCTGGACTCCAAGTCCCTGAAGCTCGTCATCAGCATGACCCTGCATGACCGCACCACCAAGTCGTTGCTGCACCTGCACAAGAAGAAGAAGCCGCCCAGCATCAGCGCCCAGTTCCAGGTGCGAGGCCAGGGAGTGAAGGCTGTGTGCCTGGGGCGGGGCCTGGAGCACAAGGGGCGGGGCATGGAGCAACTGGGGGCAGGGCCACCATCACTGGCTGCTGAAGCTGTGGCCGTGTACCAGGCTCTCTGACCTCTGCCTGGACCAGCCTGATCCCCACTGCCACTGCCCCCGGGAAGGAACATGGTGACAGCAGTCAGAACCGAAAGACTCAATGGGACCCCCGTGCTGTGTCTTTGGGGCATGCTTCCCCCCCGCCCCTTGGCTGCCAGGAAGGACAAGGACCATTTGTGGAAAGTTTCAACCACCTCTAAATTCATGCATTAGCACCCTTGTTACTTCCCTTTTCTGCCCACACCTGAGTTGGCTGCAGGCCTGGCAGTGTTTCTGTGGTGCAGACCTGCCAAGGAGGGGTCTTGCAGATCCACCCTGCGAGCAACAGGCCAGAGACCCCCACCCCACCCGCAGCCAGGCTGACACATGGGAGTGTGTGTGTCCCCGGCTCCCCGCGCCGTGGCCCTGGGAGCAGGCACCCCGTTCCCGGCTGTGCTCCACTGCTCCTTCTCTCCCCAGACGTCCCTCAACAAGCTGCTGGAGGCGCTAGGCCAGGCCGAGCCCTTCTTCATCCGCTGCATCCGCTCCAACGCCGAGAAGGTGAGCTGTGTGCAGCCTGGGTCCTGTCCAGCGGGGGAGCCCGGGCAAGGGTGAGCCCAGCCTCATTCACGTGTGCCCCCGGGGACACACACACACACACACACACTCACACACACACACTCACACCCCCGAGGGATGGCGGTCACACACACACACTCACACACACACACACTCACACCCCCCGAGGGATGGCGGTCACACACACGCACAGCCTGCCGCAGGCTCCCGCCCTGACATCCCGCGCCTGCCCGTTGCAGAAGGAGCTGAGCTTTGATGAGGAGCTGGTGTTGCAGCAGCTGCGCTACACAGGCATGCTGGAGACGGTGCGCATCCGGAGGTCCGGCTACAGCGCCAAGTACACCTTCCAGGTAGCTCGCCTGCACCGGAACATTCTCCGTCCTGAGGCACAGGTGGCCCTGCTGAGCTGGCCGCTCCCGGCCAACCCTGGGAAGGCAGGAGTGTCCCACCATGCGAGGAAGAGAACCGTGGACATAGAGACCCTGCGAGCCCCCACCCTTTACAGCGGGTGCTCTCACACCCAGGCCTGGCCAGGACGGGGTTCCCACACGGGCACCTCTTTGTTGCCCTCTCTCCTCTGATGCCCCCAGGATTTTACGGAGCAGTTCCAAGTCCTACTGCCCAAGGATGCCCAGCCTTGCCGGGAGGTCATCTCCGCCCTGCTGGAGAAAATGGCTGTGGACAAGAGGAGCTACCAGATCGGGAAGACCAAGGTCAGTGCTGCCTGGCCGGGTGCTGCACTGGGCAGGCTCAGGGCAACAGCTCCTTGCTGGGGGCCACGGGGCAGGGCCGTGGGGCCAGGGGCGGGACTGTCCCACCTGAGGCTTCACCCACTGCACCTCAGCCACTAGTGTGGGGCTGACTGCCTGTGCTGTCCATCCGGTGATGGGGAATGGCCAGGGTGCTCAGCAGCTATGCTCCCCACCCGGGACCCCAGGGCTATGCACGTGACCTCTAAGACCACCACAGCCCCACCCGGTGGCTCCCTGCAGCTCAGCATGAGATCCGCGTGACCCGCTCCTGAATGGGGGGCGGTCACATAGATTCGTGGTCGTGGGTGTGACGGCAGGGTGGCGGGGCAGTGGCCTATGTGCCCATCAACCAGCAGCTGCATAAACACCCCGGGACCACCTACACCAAGAAGTGCAGCTCGGTCGTGAGGAGGAGCGAGGATGACACAGGCTTGGGGCCATGTGGGCTCCACAGCCGAATGTGGGGACTGGCCCTGACTTCCGGGGCTCTGCTGGGGTGTGTGGGTGCCGTGGGGGCATCTCAGCTGAGCCTAGACCTCCCCGCCCACCCGGCAGATCTTCCTGAAGGAGACTCAGCGCCAGGCCCTGCAGGAGACCCTGCACCGCGAGGTGGTACGCCGGATCCTGTTCCTGCAGAGCTGGTTCCGCATGGCGCTCGAGCGTCGCCACTTCCTGCAGCTTCGGCGAGCGGCCGTCACCATCCAGGCCTGTTGGCGTTCCTACCGTGTGCGCCGGGCGCTCGAGCGCCAGCAGGCTGCCATCTTCCTGCAGGCCGCCTGGAGGGGCTTCCGGCAGCGCACGGCCTACCGGCGGCAGCGCCACAGCGTGATCCGCCTGCAGAGCCTCTGCCGCGGCCACCTGCAGCGCAGGAGGTGAGTCAGAAGGTTCCAGGAGGCAGGTCACTCGGGCACTGTGCCCGGAGGTGCCCGGGAAGCAGAGCTGAGCACCTCGCACGTGCCGGCCTGGGCCGCTCAGTGGGCACCTGGACGGCTGCCAGCCACCACGCACAGAGGCAACCCCCGCCTCTCACCTGGGTAACCCCTGGGTCTTCCGTAGCCCCAGAGCCCCCAAACTCCAAGAACCCCAGGATGCCCATGGCAACGAGGAGTCCCCCCGACCATGCCCAAGGACCAAGACCCAGGCAGAGCCAAGCCCGGAGCCCATGAGGGTGGGAGCCTGGGTGGATGCCGGTGGTGGCCTTGTGGCATCATTCTGATGTGGCCCCCCCTCCTTCCTGTCTGCCCTCTGACAGCTTCCAGCTGATGGTGGCAGAGAAGCAGAGAGCAGAAGCAGCAGCAAGGGCTGCAGAGGCCACAGTGACAGCCACCCCAGAGGGGCCGGCCCCCAGCGGGGAGCAGGTGGCAGGGCAGGGCGTGGAGCCCCAGCCAGCAGAGGACGGTGGACAACCGCCTGCATCTGAGCCTGAACTAAAGCCCCATGACAAGTCCCCGGCCACCACCGGGCCCTGCCGACCGGAGGAGGAGCCCAGCGCCCCCGAGAAGACACCCTCGTCCCACCCCAGCACGGCCCCGGCAGCTGAGGCCCACGAGCGGGTCCCGAGCAGCCGTGAGAAGCGTGAGTCACGCCGGCAGCGAGGCCTGGAGCATGTGGAGCTGCAGAACAAGCACAGCCAGGCATGCCGGGAGGAGAGTGCCCTCAGAGAACCTTCCGGAAGGGCTGCCCCAGAGCCCCAGCAGAACCTTGAGGTAGACAGGCAGGAGAAGGCAGATAAGACCCCCACGGCAACAGGGACGAACACTGAGGCTCCCGAGCGGCCCCCAGAGCCTCCACAGGCCACGGCTGACAACAGGGTTTCTGGGGATACAGTGAAGGTGCCGCCAGGCGGGAGCCCTAGGCCCGGCCATGCTGAACGGCCCACCAGCCTGGCCCTGGACAGTCAGCTCTGCTCCCCAACCCCCAAGGACAAGGACAGGCCCAGCGGCAGCCCCCAGGCCCACAGCAAGCCCGAGAGCCCCGGGGGCTCCAGCCAGATCCAGCGGTACCGGGACCCAGACACCGAGCGGCTGGCCAATGCCGTGGAGTTGTGGCGGGGCAAGAAGCTGGTGCCCGCCAGCCCCAGCAGCATGCTGAGCCAGTCGCTGGACCTGAGCGAGCGGCAGCGCCCTGTGGGAGCCGTCCTCACACCCGCAGAGTAAGGCCCGACCGCGGCCTCTGTTGGGACACCCCTGGCAGGGCAGCACGCATGCGAGCAGGCCTCCCAGGCAACTCGGGCTCAGCCCACGCAAAGCTCCTGCTGCAGGAAGTCCAGCCAGGCCCTGAGCTGGGGAAACCCTGCTAGTGGCGGCCCGTCGGGTAGAGGACAGCTGGCTGGGGAGGGTGGATGGATGGGCAGGCAGGGCTGGCTGGATGGACACATGGACAGCAGGGAGGGCTGGATGGGATGCAAGAAGTCAGGGAGAGCAAGTGTGGGGAAAATAGACTGAAAGGCGTTCAGGCGGCTGCTGGGAGGGGAGCCGAGCTGACGGGTGGAGGGAATAAATGGCGGGTGGGCGCAGGGACACAGGACGGGCGGGGAGAGGAGGTAGACCCCGGCCTCTTGCCCAGCCCTTCCCCGGGGCCTCCCGCGCCCCATCTCCCTCCTCTCCCCAACTCAACAACCCCAGCGCTCCCCCAGGGCAAAATTTGCCCAGGAGAGGTCAGTGTGGCCAGCGGCCAACGTGGTGTGTGTTTCCGTGGGCCCACAGGGAGAAGCACATGTCCTCGTCCACCAGTGACGTGTCCGGGCTGTCCAAGACGCAGGTGAGAACAGCCACAGGGCAGAGATGGGCCAGCAGGGCTGCCACCGCTGGGGTGTGGGACCCCCCCAACCCCGCATCTCCCTCTCAGCCGCTCCCGCACCGCACCGTCCTGTTGCAGCCCCTGGCGGACAGCGCCGACGGCGGCGAGCTGAGCACCAGGAAGCCACCTGTGCACAAGAAGAAATCAGGAGATGCGTCCTCTGTCGCAGATGCAGGGCTGTCCCCCGGGGCCCAGGCCGACTCCAAGTACGTTGAGGGCTGCCGGGGAGGCTGCGGGCACGGGGGACCAGCCACCCGGGCAGCCGCAGCCCGTGTGGGCCGCCCCCTCTGGACCCACGCGGACGGCTGCTGGTGCTGTGACGGCGGGCCCCTGCCACATCCGGAGCTCACAGGAGACACTGGGCACCAGCCACGCCGTCCCCACATTACCCCATGGCCGGGCAGCCCCAAACCGTCATGCCCCGTCCCCACTATCCCTTCTCTGTTGGTGTTTGTCTACTGACCAGAGAAGCCAAGAGACACGGAGATGCTAGCCCGGCCCCTGCTCCCGGCCGGCCTGCCTAATGCCAGCCTGAGACCTAGGTGGGGGCTCCAGGTCCACTCTCGTCCAGGGTGGGTGCCAGGGGTGACACCTGGCCCTCACACACACACACACACACAGACAGGCTAGGCCTCTGGGCTTCTTTTTATTCACAGGTCTTTTTGTATTCCTCAGGCCCAGGAAACTAGGAAAGAGAGGACACGAATGTGTGTGAATTGGTTCCTTTTCTTTTAACTTTTTCCACTTTTTAATTCTATTTTGACAATCTTTACATAGTTAATTAGGGTTAAAAGGTTCAAGGGCTGCAGGAAAGTGGGTCAGACTCTTAGTTCCATATTGTTTCCTTCATGTATCTGAGGTAAAGGGGGATATGGAGGGAGAAGCCCCTCCCAGTCTCCCACCCATCCCAGGTCCCTGATGTGGGGCATGCTCCGAGGGTCCTGCTCAAGTGGTTTTGATAGTCAACAGTTCTGAGTTACTGCCAGTCTTGCCACTCCAAGCACTATGAGGTCGTTGAAGAATCCACTGATTGACATAGTCCATCATAGAGTCTCCATTTGCCCAGTTTTTCACTGCCAACATATGGCTGAGGTGGTTAATTGACTTGTTTCGTCCTCTGTCTTTTCATGGTTGGGGTTCTGAGTCCGGCAGTTCGATTGGGGAGATCCCTAAAGAAACTTTGTCTGAGGTGTTCCCAGACCAGATTCTTGTATGTGCTAGCAAAGAGAGATCTTCCTTCCATTGGCTTACTCACAAGTGGCTACGACAGCCAGGGTGGGGCAGGCCGCCCAGGTCTTCTGCTGGGCCATCCAGTGCAGGCGCCACAGCCGGGAGCGGGACTGTGCCCTAGGATGCCAGCGTTGCGGGCAGCAGCCCAAGGCACCGCCCCCCCGCGCCACACTGTCCCTGCCATCCCTTCTCAGGAAGGCCGTAAGCTGGTCCCTGCTCTACAGCGCGGGCCCCGTGGCCCTCCGCAGTCCCTTGTCTCTGCAAAGCCCCAAGGGACCTCTTTCCTTTCCTCCTCCCCGCCTCGCACAGATCCACGTTTAAGCGACTCTTCCTGCATAAAACCAAGGATAAGAAGTACAGCCTGGAGGGCATGGAGGAGGCGGCAGAGCCCACGGTGCCCGGGCTCAGCCCACCAGATGCCACCTCCACCAAGAAGAGCCTAGAAGGTGGGTCTGCCAGAGCAGGGCCTCAGGCCAGGGTGGGGCCAACCCCAGGGTGCAGCGTGGAGGATGTGGGGTGGCTGACCCCAGGGCACAGCCATGAAGGGACTGACCTGGCCCTGGGGACGTGTACCCCAGCTGCCCCATGTCCTGCACAGCCCCTCCAGCCAGCAGAGCAGGGTCTCCAGGACCAGGGTGGGGGGTGGCCAACCCCAGGGTAGACCTGTCCCCGAATCGCACACCCCAGCTGGCCTGTCCCTGCACAGCCCCCTCGGGCCAGCAGCACCGCCAGCACGCCAAGGAGCCTGGGGGTAAAGGGAAGAAGAACCGGAACCTCAAGGTGGGCAAAATCACCGTGTCCGAGAAGTGGCGCGAGTCAGTGTTCCGCAAGATCACCAATGCCAACGAACTCAAGTACCTGGACGAGTTCCTGCTCAACAAGGTGCGGCCTCCTGGGGGCGGGGACTGGGCCGGGGAGGGTGGGGGTGCAGAGCCCCTGCTTCCCACTTCCTTCAGCTGTGAGGTCTGGATTCCAGGGAGCTGGGAGGACAGGTTGTGGTGCCCCTGCACAGTGCCCTGGCTGCTGCAGCCAACAGGTGCCCTACAGTTGCCAGAAGACAAATGGCTCCTTAGGGATTCCTCTCTTCGCCAAAGGATGGAATGGCGTTTCCCGTCTGCTGGTTGACACCCCAAATGGGCCAGGCTGTGGCCAGAGCCTGCAGCTCCAGCGGGGAGGGGGTGTTGGCATTTTGGCACAGCAAGTAAAGCTGCTGCCTGCAGTGCCAGCATCCCATAGGGGCCCAGTTCGAGTCCCGGCTGCCCCACTTCCCATCCAGCTCCCTGCCTGTGGCCTGGGAAAGCAGTGGAGGACGGCCCACAGCCTGGGGACCCTGCACCCGGGTGGGAGAGCCAGAAGGGGTTCCAGGCTTGGGACTTCAGTCAGGCCCAGCCCTGACTGACGTGGGCATTTGGAGTTTATCTCTCCCTCCTGTTAGCCGTATATATGTGCGTGTGATTCTACATGCGTTTTAATGTCCTTTCCCACAAGCTGTCAAAGCTTGCACTTTCTTCCTCGGGGACATTGGCCAGTTCTGGGGCATTGGGGTGGCCAGGACTGGGGCCGGGGGCCAAGGGCCAAGGAGCTACGTAGTGCACTGCCCCCGGGGTCAGGCGTGCTGTGGAGTCTTTGACTGCCAGGGCCCAGGGTGTGAGAGAGCAGGTGAGCCGAGGCACCCCAATGTCCCCCAGGAGCTGGCCGCCCTGCCAAGCCGTGCGTGGGCTCACCTAGCCTCTCTCCTTCCAGATAAATGATCTGCGTTCCCAGAAGACTCCCATTGAGAGCTTGTTTATCGAAGCCACCGAGAAGTTCCGGAGCAACATTAAGACCATGTACTCCGTCCCCGTATGTGCAGCCCCCGCCCCGGGACCGTGCCCCCGAGCTGTGTGCCTGCTCTGCCCCGTCCCTGCCTGTGGGGAATCACGGGCCCCGCTGTTGCCCTAGAACGGGAAGATACACGTGGGCTACAAGGACCTGATGGAGAACTATCAGATCGTCGTGGGCAACCTGGCCGCCGAGCGGGGCCACACGGACACCAACCTGGTCCTCAACCTCTTCCAGTCGCTGCTGGACGAGTTCACGCGCGGCTACACCACCAAGAACGACCTGGAGCCCGCCAAGGTGGGCAGCGCCACCCTTGCCCACCCCACCAGGCCACGCCCCTGGCTGCCTTGAGTGTCACGCCCACCCCTCCTGGCTGAGAATATTAATTTTTAGGGTACTCACTGGGACAGGCCAAGGGCCCTTGGAGGGCTGGGTGGCCCATTCCCGGGGAAGGAGGGGCGTGCAGGTCCCCAGGGAGCTCCAGCTTGGCGCTGAAGTCCTCTGCCTTCCCCACAGCAGAGCAAAGCGCAGAAGAAGAAGCGAAAACAGGAGCGTGCTGTGAGTAGGAACAAGCAGGTGTCTGAGGGCGTGGGGGGCCCGTGACCCCCACTCAGCCCCGTCCTAACCCCTGCATATCTGTGTGTGTGTGAGCTTGGGGGCCTGTGACCCCGGCTCAGCCCCGTCCCCTCCTAACCCCTGACCCGCCCCCTGCATATCTGTGTGTGTGTGAGCTTGGGGGCGTGTGAGCTTGGGGGCCCGTGACCCCGGCTCAGCCCCGTCCCCTCCTAACCCCTGCATATCTGAGTGTGTGTGAGCTTGGGGGCCTGTGACCCCGGCTCAGCCCCGTCCTAACCCCTGCATATCTGTGTGTGTGTGAGCTTGGGGGCCCGTGACCCCGGCTCAGCCCCCCGCCCTCCCCCGGCCCCACAGGTGCAGGAGCACAATGGGCACGTGTTCGCCAGCTACCAGGTGAGCATCCCGCAGTCCTGCGAGCAGTGCCTCTCCTACATCTGGCTCATGGACAAGGCCCTGCTGTGCAGTGGTGAGTGCCCAGCCCAGCCCTCCCGCACCCCAGGGGAGCCTTTCAGGAGGGGCGCACTCTGAGAGCCCTGCCCTGTGACCTCCTAGTGTGCAAGATGACCTGTCACAAGAAGTGTGTGCACAAGGTTCAGAGCTACTGTTCCTACACGAGCGGGCGCAAGGTGAGCCCCTGGGGCCCCGGAACATTCCAGATGGCCCAGGAGAAGAGGGCTGGGGGAGGGCGGGCGCAAGGTGAGCCTGTGGGTCCTGATGGTGAGGGGAGGAGAGCTGAGGATGCCGGCCCCACTCCCTGTAAGATGCCTGGCAGACGGAAGCCCCACCCAGGCCCTGAGCTGCCTGTCCCCATGCCCACAGAGTGAGCCAGGCGCCGAGCCAGGCCACTTTGGCGTGTGCGTGGACAGCCTGACGAGCGACAAGGTGTCGGTGCCCGTGGTGCTGGAGAAGCTCCTGGAGCACGTGGAGATGCACGGGCTCTACACCGAGGGCCTGTACCGCAAGTCGGGCGCTGCCAACCGCACGCGGGAGCTGCGCCAGGCATTGCAGACAGGTGCAGGGGCTGCGGGCGGGGCCGTGGGCGGGGTCGAGCCAGGCTGGGCCTCCCCGGACACGGAGGGCACTCACCAGCTTCACCACCCACAGACCCCGCAGCCGTGAACCTGGACAACTTCCCCATCCACGCCATCACGGGCGTGCTGAAGCAGTGGCTGCGGGAGCTGCCCGAGCCGCTCATGACCTTCGCCCAGTACAGCGACTTCCTTCGCGCCGTGGGTGAGCGCCGGATGGGGCCTGGGGGACTGAGGGTCCTGAGGGGGCAGCAGAGGGGGCAGCCACATCCAGGTGGGGGGCACTGAGGAAGCTCCTGTGTCCCCAGAGCTGCCCCAGAAGCAGGAGCAGCTAGCCGCCATCTACACCCTGCTGGAGCACCTTCCCGAGGCCAACCACAACTCCCTGGAGAGGCTCATCTTCCACCTGGTGAAGTGAGTGTCCGGCCCTCCCCGCACGGCCCCGCACTCGCCCCAGCACCTCTGAGCTGGGGGTCGGGGGCCAGGGCTCCCTTCTCTAGGCCAGGGCTCCCTCCCCTCCCCGTGCGCCCTGCCCCCTGACCCCTGCCCCCTGGTGGTGCTGTGCAGGGTGGCTCTGCTGGAAGACGTGAACCGCATGTCACCGGGGGCGCTGGCCATCATCTTCGCACCCTGCCTCCTGCGCTGCCCAGACACCTCGGACCCGCTGACTAGCATGAAGGACGTGCTGAAGGTCACCACGTGAGTGCCCAGGAGAGGCCAGGGGGCTGCACCAGTGGCACAGTGGATTCCCTTCCCTGGTTGTGGTCTGCTCCTGCCGGGACTGGGGGGTGTGGGTCTGTTTGAGCACTTCCCCTGTGGGGACACACACCTAGGAGGGGACAAGGCCCTGCAGGAAGTCCTCCCCTCTCTCCAGAGCAGACAGGGCCTTCTGGGTTTCCCTTGGGGGTCCAAGACCCTCACAGGGCAGAGGCCGGGCAGCCCGCAGTGGGGGCCAGCAGCTTCTGCCTAGAAGTCTCTTAGCAAAGGAAGCAGGCTAGGGGTAGGCATTTGTCCCGGTGGCTAAAGAGCTGGCAGGAGTGCGCTGTGTTCAAGGCCTGACCCCGCCATGTGGGGCTCAGGAACTGCGGGTCCCAGTGTGGCAGAAGTGGTGTCGGCGACAACTTAGGGTTGTGACAAAGTAGTGAGAATGAATGATTTCAGTTAAAAGGACAGCTGGTACCTGGGCCAGTGATGGGAGCGGCCCCTCTGGTGGCGTGGGTGCATACCGCGTCCCGCGGGCCTGCTGCAGCAGGAGTCGGCTCCTGCCAAGGCCAGCTGGGTGTCACGGAGCCCTGTGCTGCAGCACCCGCCTCCTCTGGGGTGTGTGTTCCTTAGGGGGCTCCAGCCTGCAGGGCCAGCGTGCTGGCAAGGGGCCAGGGGCGGCGTCAGCCTGGCAGTGGCGCCCTCACAGGGCACCCTGCGGTGTCCCAGCCCACGCTGACCACTGCACCTGGGGACGCTCCAGCCCTCCCCAGCTGCTGCCCCCGGGGGCTGCCCATGGCCAGCCCCATCACCGCCTGGCCGCCCTTCGCAGGTGCGTGGAGATGCTCATCAAGGAGCAGATGCGCAAGTACAAGGTGAAGATGGAGGAGATCAGCCAGCTGGAGGCGGCCGAGAGCATCGCCGTGCGCAGGCTGTCACTGCTGCGGCAGAACGCGGTGAGGGGCGTGGCCGCGGTGGGCGGGGCATCGTGTGGGCGTGGCCGGCGGTGGGCGGGGGCTCGGCCGGAGCAGGTGCTTCCTGGCAGGTGTGTGGCCTGCAGGGAACATCAGGTTCCCCCACGTCCTCCCGGGCAACCTCAGACATGGGTTCCCGACCCCCCGTCGTAGCCCTGGGCCCGACCGCACACCTTCTATCTCCGAGAAGGACAGACGGGGCGGCTGGGGTCAGCGGGGCCGTCTTGTCCCTAGCTGACCTGGACCCCACCCCAGGGAGCCGGACAGGAGCAGGTCCTGGGCTCCCTGGGGGCTCAGCCTCGTGACCTGGGTGGGGCACGTGGTCACCCTGCGTTCGTCTCTCCCCCCAGCCATGGCCTCTCAAACTGGGGTTCTCGTCTCCCTATGAGGGGGTCCTGGTATGTACCGGCGTGGTGTCCATGCTGCATGTCCACCAACCTGCATGCTGCGTCCCGCCGGCCCCTAGAAGGTCACAGGGGAGAGCCCTGCATGGCCTGACTGCCCCTCGGCCCCCTGAGAGCCCCGCATGGCCTGTCTGTCCCTCGGCCCCCCCGAGAGCCCCGCACGGCCTGACCGTCCCTCGGCCCCCTGAGAGCCCCGCATGGCCTGACCGTCCCTCGGCCCCACATGGCCTGACCGTCCCTCGGCCCCGCATGGCCTGTCTGTCCCTCGGCCCCCCCGAGAGCCCCGCATGGCCTGACCGTCCCTTGGCCCCCTGAGAGCCCCGCATGGCCTGACCGTCCCTCGGCCCCACATGGCCTGACCGTCCAGCCCTGCGTCCCCACTGAGTCTAACACCACTAACGTCCCCCTGGGGTGCACACGCCGCCTCCAGCCCTGCCCGCTCAGCCCACTGCGCCCTCTCTGCAGAGCAAGAGCCCCAAGGAGCCCGGCAGCCTGGAGGAGCTGGAGGCCCTGCCCGAAGAGGAGGCGGCGGGCGGGGATGGCGACGAGGACCGCGAGAAGGAGCTGCTGATGGAGCGCATCCAGTGCATCAAGGAGGAAAAGCAAGTGCCCGCTCGGCCCCGCCCACTGCAGCCACGCCCCCGGGACCCACCCATGGCGCATGACCACACCCATTGTCCACAGCCTCAGCCCATGACGCATAACCACGGCCACGCCCTTGTGCTCAGCCCCGCCCACCACGCCTGGTCACGCCCACACCGCCACGCCCCGGGCTCGCCCCGCCCACTACATGCGGCCCCGCCCACCGGTGCTGCTGGTCACTCCTGCCCAGCTCACCTGCATCTGACATCAGCTGTGTTAGCTCAGGCCCATCCTGCCCACCTACTCCCTGTCCGTTTCCGCCGCGGCTTCCCGTGCCCCCTGCCCAACATCCCCTGGCAGACCCGAGGGCGTGCCGGCCCTGCCCAGGTCTGACCATGGCCGACACTTGGGGAGTGACCCAGCATCTGGGTGAGCTTGCCCCAAGTAACAGATTAGTAAAGTGAGTGCCAGCGCGCTCCGGGGGCCAGGTCGCTGGGCAGCCTGAGCTCAGGCCCCGGTCAGCAGCTCCATGTGGGCCAGGCCCGCCCTGCGGCGCACCCCGAGGTGTCCAGGCCGGGACTGGGCAGTCCCCGTGGGGGCACAGCCTCCCGCCCCGCCCCAGCCGGTCCTCCCCCGGGGCGGCCTTGCACAGCGTGCCTGTCTCGCCCACAGGGAGGACATCACATACCGGCTGCCTGAGCTGGACCCGCGGGGCTCGGACGAGGAGAACGCAGACTCGGAGACCTCGGCCAGCACCGAGAGCCTCCTGGAGAAGCGGGCCGGGCGCGGGGCCCCCGAAGGTCAGTACTGAGGGGAGCCAGCTCCTGTCCTGCTCCCGGGGCCCGGGTCCTGCAGTAACCCCGCGTCTCTCTTCAAAAGGGCCCCCCGCGCCTGCGCTCCCCCGCCCCGGGGTGCCCGCCCCGAGCCCCCTTCCCCCGGCGGCCGCCCCCGCCCGCCGAAGGCCGGCCTCCTTCGTCACGGTGCGAGCGAAGACCCCCCGGCGGACCCCCGTCATGCCCACCGCCAACATCAAGCTCCCTCCGGGCCTGGCCTCGCACCTGTCCGCCGGCGTGGTCGCCACCGTGCGGCGCCGCGAGCCGCCCGCCCGCCGGCCGGACCTGGTGCACTCGCTGTACGTGGCGCCCGGGGCCCAGCTGCCCGTGCAGGCAGCCCTGGAGGCGCTGCGGGAGCAGCCAGGGCCGGCCACACCGGCCCGGCGCAGGTACTCCGACCCGCCGCTCTACTGCCTGCCACGGCCCGCCTCCCCGGGCCAGGCCCCCGGCTGAGCCCCCGAGGGAGGCACCTGGACAGGCTCCGGGCGCCACTGGAGAAGGTGCACCTGCTCAGGCCCGGCCGGCGCTGCCCAGCGCCTCTTCGTGGTTTACATAACTGAGCTGTCACAGCCTTGGTGGCAGCTGGACTTGGCGCATGTTCAAGCCTCGCCACCAAGCGCCTGCATCCTCGTGCCAGCCATGGGGGGCAGAGGAGGACGGTACCGTGGCCGCAAAGACCCAAACTCTGTCTCCAATTGGCGCTCGGCGCCGCCTGGCCGGCACAGGGCAGGACCCGGAGGAAGTGGCCGCTGCGTCCCTGAAGCGCCAGGAGTTAGGTGCAAGGAGGCCACCCCAGGCACTGCCCATCCCGTGCGACCGACCATGGGACCAGGGACCCCGGACACATGGGTGGGGAGAGCGTTGCGGGTGCACGGCAGCCACCTTGGAAGGCCACCCAGCTCACCTCGCGGGCTGGCAGGGAACCAAGGTGTGAAATAAAACTCGCCTTTCGCGACGCACTGCTGTGGGATTCCTGCCGCCACCCCTCTCTCTGACACACGCACCCCTGCACGGGCCTGTCCACAGGGCTGGGGCAGCACCGGGGGTGGTCAAACCACGGGGGGCGAGCCCGAGGTCCAGAAGGGGGCAGGTCCAGCATCCAGCTGAGGGCCCTGCGGGTTGCGGCCACAGCTGGATCCCTCCAGGCTGCTGTCATGTGCAGTTCCAGCCACGATGGTCATCAGGGAGCGAGCCAGCGGCTGGGAGCCTTACCAACAACTGTGTCTTCAGGAACGCAGACAGGTTTCAAAACAGCCAATTTAGTTCCATTTTGCAGACTTCTGGATTCCCTTTGTTGACACTTAAACCCCTACAAAGATCCCCCAAGCCTGGGGAGCAGCATGGTCCACCTGGCCTCACGTGGCTTCAGATGCCAGGTACATGGCCCACCCAGCCACAGCTTGGGACGCCCGCAGCCCCACTTCCCACCCAGCTCCCTGCCTGTGGCCTGGGAAAGCAGTGGAGGACGGCCCACAGCCTGGGGACCCTGCACCCGCGTGGGAGACCCGGAAGAGGCTCCTGGCTCCTGGTCAGCTGTGGCCACATGGGAAGTCAACTAATAGGCAAAATATCTCTTTTCTTTCAAAATCTGTTGCAAATTTTCAAAAATGTCACACTCAAAGAAGATTTTGGCGACACAAATGCACCGCATTCGGTCCCCTCCCCCAGGTTCGCCCTTGGAGCCTCTGGCACCAGGAGCAGCCTGCAGGCGATGGCGGGCTCGGGCCAGGCCCAAGCCGCGGGAGAGCCAGGAGCAGGGGTGCTGTCCACAGACACGCCCGTTCCCATCCCGGGTTATGGTCAGCAGGACACGAAGGGGGACATGCTGGGAGGTGGGGTTCTAAAGCCACACAGCCACCGAAGTGTCCCCACCTCACCCCGCCCAGGGCGTTGGCAGGGCCTCCCCGGTGGTGCGCGGCTGTGCCCCCCACTGATGGGCCTGGGGTCCCGGTGGCCCACTGATGGGCCTGGGGCCCCGGTGGTGCGCGGCTGTGCCCCCCATTGATGGGTCCCTGCAGGGCGGGCTGTGACCAGGGATGGGTCCTTGCAGGGCAGGCTGTGACCAGGGATGGGTCCCTGCAGGGCAGGCTGTGACCAGGGATGGGTCCTTGCAGGGCAGGCTGTGCCCCCCATTGATGGGTCCCTGCAGGGCAGGCTGTGACCAGGGATGGGTCCCTGCAGGGCGGGCTGTGACCAGGGATGGGTCCCTGCAGGGCAGGCTGGGCCTTGTCTCCACCCCAGACTCCGTAGCAGGCCCCATCACTCTGACCAGCCCCTCGGCCAGACGGGCTACGGGGTCAAGGCCGCGCCAGGGCGCGGGAACCCGGATCCCCGAGGTGCCAGGCAGGACCAGCCTGGCGGAACCCGGTGCGCCGGGGGCACGGTGCCGGAGGACATCTGCCTGGGTAAAGCCAGCGCGGCCGCCCTGAGTAAAGATGGCCCTATCGGCCTCCTCGCCCTTTCCCGTCCTAGGAGGCCTTCAAGCCGCAGTTCCCGCTTCCGACGGAATTCTCCCGCACACTGGTGTGTCACACCGAGACCACTGGTTAAAACGGAAACGAGAGTACTTCCGCTCCCCATAAAGGGTCTAGGGATCCGGGCACAATCGCCCGGAAGGAAGCCAAGAGGAGGCACTTCCGCCCTGCTCCAAGATGGCACCTGCGGAAGGGGTAAGCCGTTGTCCGATGGCAGCGTCGCGGCTCGAGCTCAACCTGGTGCGGCTGCTGTGCCGCTGCGAGGCGATGGCAGCTGAGCGGCGGGACCCCGACGAGTGGCGCCTGGAGAAGGTGTGTGTGTCGGGACGCCCGACTCCCGCCGGGGGCTGCGGGGCGGCCGGACCGCGGGGCTGCCGCGCTGGCCACGCCCTTCCTGCGGTGCCGCCCCGTCCCAAGAGTAGCTCCGCCCCTCTCCCGAACACGTCCTCCTAATCCCGCCCCTCTCCCGAGCCACGCCCATCGTAGCTCCGCCCCGCGGCCCATCCCCTGTAACGCCGCCTTCAGCCCCACCCCTCTCCTGGCCCCGCCCCTTTCCTGACCCCGCCCCTCCCGCAGTACGTGGGCGCCCTGGAGGACATGCTGCAGGCCCTCAAGGCTCAGGCCAGGTAGGTGGGTGGGGGTCCCACGGACTCGGGCCCCCAACTCTGTCCCTGCCGCCCAGCGCCCTGCCTCCGGAGCTGGGGTCCCCCCGCGAGCCCCGCAAGCCCCGCAAGCCCGCCTCTGCCGTGGGGTCCCCCCCACAAGCCCGCCTCTGCCGTGGGGTCCTCCCGCAAGCCCGCCTCTGCCGTGGGGTCCCCCCCGCAAGCCCGCCTCTGCCGTGGGGTCCCCCCGCAAGCCCCGCAAGCCCGCCTCTGCCGTGGGGTCCTCCCGCAAGCCCGCCTCTGCCGTGGGGTCCTCCCGCAAGCCCGCCTCTGCCGTGGGGTCCTCCCGCAAGCCCGCCTCTGCCGTGGGGTCCCCCCGCAAGCCCGCCTCTGAGTTGGGGGTCCCCCGGATTCGGGTCCCCCGCCTTCTCACCGCTGAACTGCCCTGGCCGTCCAGCAAGCCCGCGTCCGAGGTGCTCGGCGAGTACTCACGCAAGGTGGACTTCCTGAGAGGCCTGCTGCAGGCCGAGAAGCTGGTGAGCCCCACGCAGGTGGAGGGCAGCAGGGAGCAGGGGGAGCCGCCACGCCACCCCAGCCTCCCCGGCCCCCCGCCGTGACCCCTGCAATGCCCCGCTCCCCGCAGACCTCGCCGTCCGAGAAGGCGTTGGCCAACCAGTTCCTGACCCCGGGCCGCGTGCCCACAACAGCCCGGGAGCGCGTGCCGGCCACCAGGACGGTGCACCTGCAGTCACGGGCACGCTACACTGACGAGATGCGCAGCGAGCTGCTGGGCACGGTGCGGCCCGGGGACCTCGCGGAAGGCGGGTGGGAGGCCAGCAGACAGGGACGCTTGGTGGCCGGGCCATGTGCATTGGTGCTGGTGGTCAGTCCCGTGGGACACGAGGTTGCCGTCTTCTCCAAGAGCCTGGTTCAAGTCCGACCTTGTCCAATTCTGACCTGGACCCTGAGTGGCAGGGGGAGGGTGAGGTCCGTGCCAGCCACGTGGCCGACTCAGACGGAGTGCCCTGGTCCCTGGGCTGTCCTCTGATGCTTTCTCAGGCTCATAAGCAGGATGGGAAGTGGAGCAGCTGGGACTTGAGCCAGCAGCTCTGTGGGCTGCCAGTTCTGCAGGCAGTGGCCTTACCCACTGTGCCACGCTGCCAGGCTGCTGCCAGGACCCTGCCTTCCCACTCCTCCGTTGGCGCAGACAGGCGGCCATTGGGCCTGTGGGCAGCATGGTGCCCTGTCACTGGGTGGGAGACGTGGGGCATGCAGGCCCGGGTACCAGCCTCACGCCTCTGCCCTTCTCCCCCCCAGGACCCAGCTGGTGAGTCGCCCTCGGCCAAAACAGGATCCAGTGTCCATTCCCCCTGCCCCATCCCTCTCAGCCCCTCCCGCTTGGCATCCCCTGCAGGTCCGGAGGGGGTGTCAGTTTTCCAGGTTACCCCTGGGGGGGGCAGAGTGGGGCCGAAGCTGTTGGAGGATCCTTAGAGAGCGGGCATGGCACTAGGGCTTTGAGGCATTGTCAGGAGCCTGCGAGCCAGGCACCAGAGCACACCTCATCATCTGCTCTTTCCTGTCTGGGCCGTTTCACTTCTAGAACCAGAAGTGGACGTGCGAAGGCGGAGGTGAGTGGGTTCAGGCCTGGGGCAGGGTGGAGGGGAGGAGTCTTCCCGTACCCCACTCCTTGGGGGCACCCCCACCCCGGCTGCAGTGGGGACCCCGTGGGGATGTGTCGCTCTGTTCTCTCCGGCTGGGCAGCGGCGCTGCGGGACCCAGGGCGGCTGATGAGAAGCAGTCGGTGGCCGAGCTGGACCTGGTCTTGCAGCGGCAGCAGGCCCTACAGGAGAAGCTAGCCGAGGAGATGCTGGGCCTGGCCCGGAGCCTCAAGAGCAACACGCTGGCCGCCCAGAGCGTCATCAAGAAGGACAACCAGGTAAGGGCCGGGGAGCGGGGTCCAGGGGGGCTGCAGGCCGGGGAGCGGGGTCCAGGGGGCTGCAGGCCGGGGAGCGGGGTCCAGGGGGCTGCAGGCCGGGGAGCGGGGTCCAGGGGGCTGCAGGCCGGGGAGCGGGGTCCAGGGGCCTGAGCACCCCATGCCCCCACAGACCCTGTCGCACTCGCTGAAGATGGCCGACCAGAGCCTGGAGAAGCTCAAGACGGAGTCGGAGCGGCTGGAGCAGCACGCGCAGAAGTCAGTCAACTGGCTGCTCTGGGCCATGCTCATCGTGGTCTGCTTCATCTTCATCAGCATGATCCTCTTCATCCGCATCATGCCCAAGCTCAAGTGAGGACGGCTGGGGCCTTCTCTGACCGCTGCTGGACGCCCCGGACCCCCGGACCCCCTGGACCCCCTGGACCTGCTGGACCCCCTGGACCCCCTGGACCCGCCTGCCCCTGCTGGACGCCCCGGACCCCCTGGACCCCCTGGACCTGCCTGCCCCTGCTGGACCCCCTGGACCCCCTGGACCCGCCTGCCCCTGCTGGACACCCTGGACCCCCTGGACCCGCCGGCTCCCACTGCCCCCACCCGCCCCCGGGAAGTGAGGCGGGAAGGGCGGCGACCGAGGAGAAGGGCACCGGGCCTGGAATGGCATCAACATTCTTAAAATATAAAGGATGAATAAACACAGACTCGGGTCCATGCACCAAGCGCGGCTAAGGGGAGGGCACTTCCGCCCCCCGCCGGGCCCCGCCCCGCCCGGACACGCCCACCCAGGGCTGCTTCCGGCCGCCAGGCCACGCCCGGCGCAAGGCCGGGGCGGCGAGGGCCGCTTCCGCCCCGAGCCGGGCCCCGCCCCGTGCCCTCCGCCCGGCGGCCTGACCCCGCGGGCCGCATCCGCCGCAGCGCTCGCTCGGCCCGGATCCCGCAGGCCTCCGCCGACAGCCGGACGCTGGGCCAGGTGACACCGCCGCGCGGGGAGAGGCGCCCTGACGTCACGGCTCGGGGACCCTCCGCTCTTCCCGGTGCCGCTGCTGGGGGGTGGGGCCGCCGAGGGCCAATGGGCGTGCAACTAGAGCTTGGGCGTGGCTTGACTGGGTGGGGCGGAGCCGGGGCCATGGCTTAGGGCGATTGGGCGGGGTCGGGGCGTGGCTTCTTACAGGGAGGTGTGGGCGTGGCTTTGCTGGATGAGGCGTGGCCTGGTTGGGCAGAGATGAGCTGGGGGCGGAGCGCGAGGCTTGCTGTGCTCAGCGTGGTGGGCGGGGATTGCTGGGCGTGGCCTGCCGTGAACGGGGCGGGGCTTGCTTTCAGGGCGTGGCCTGTTGCGAACGGGGGCGGGGCTTGCTTGCTGGGGGCGGGCCTTGCGTGCTGGGGGCGGGCCTGACGGGGCGTGGCTTGCTGCGTGTCCCCAGGTCGCCCCCCGGCCCCGGGGTGGCCCCGCCCCACCTCGCAGGGCCCGCCCCCCGGCCCCGGGACCCCCACACAGGCCCATGCCCGTCCGGGAGCGCCCCTCGAAGGCCCGGGGCTGCCGGGGCACCCCGCACCCCGACCCGCCCGGCCCGGGACCCCCGGTGAGTGGGACCCCGTGAGTGGGACCCCGTGAGTGGGACCCCCGTGAGTGGGACCCCGTGAGTGGGACCCCCGTGAGTGGGACCCCGTGAGTGGGACCCCGTGAGTGGGACCCCCGTGAGTGGGTCCCCCGTGAGTGGGACCCCGTGAGTGGGTCCCCCGTGAGTGGGACCCCAGTGAGTGGGACCCCGTGAGTGGGACCCCAGTGAGTGGGACCCCCGTGAGTGGGACCCCGTGAGTGGGACCCCAGTGAGTGGGACCCCCGTGAGTGGGACCCCGTGAGTGGGACCCCGTGAGTGGGACCCCCGTGAGTGGGTCCCCCGTGAGTGGGACCCCGTGAGTGGGACCCCCGTGAGTGGGACCCTGTGAGTGGGACCCCCGGTGAGTGGGACCCCCGGTGAGTGGGACCCCGTGAGTGGGACCCCCGTGAGTGGGTCCCCCGTGAGTGGGACCCCGTGAGTGGGACCCCGTGAGTGGGACGCGGGGGCCTGGGACCTCCTGGGTCCCCACACACCCTGAGCTCCTGCAGCGCCCCGGCTCCTCGCGCCCTGCAGGCCTGCGCCCCCCACGCCCCCCACGCCCTCGGAGCCCACGCCGTGAAGCCCAGGAAGATCGTGTTCCAGGATGAGCTGCCTGCCCGGGCCCCACGGGGCGCCCCAAGTCCCGTAGGAGCCCCCCCAGCCAGGCGCACCCCCAGGCCCGACCCGGTGCCTGACTACGAGCTGTGAGTGAGGGGCAATCACGCTGGGGCTTCCACGGATGTATAAGAGCTTGCCAGTTGGCTTTCTTTTTTTAAAAAGGCCATACGGAGAGGGTACTGCAGCAGGTGCATTTGGGGGGCATGGGGGAGTCAGCCCTTTCACTCCCCAGCCCCCCTCATCCTCCGTAGCAAGTACCCCGCCATCAGCAGCGAGAGGGAGCGGACCCGCTACGCCGCCGTGTTCCAGGACCAGTACGGGGAGTTCCTGCAGCTGCAGCAGGAGCTGGGCTGCGTGCAGGCCAGGCTGAGGCGGCTGGAGGCCCTGCTGGCGGCCCTGCCCCCTCCCCGCAGCCAGGTCAGTGCCGGGGACCCCCACCCCGGCTGGCTGCCTCGGCCTCCCCACACTCCCGCCTCAGCCTCCTCCTCCTCCTCCTCGGCAGAGGGAGGCCCAGGCCGCGGCCCGCGTGTGGACGGAGCTGGACAGGAAGCGGACGGTGAGCTGGGGGCGGGCGGCAAGGCCGGGGCGCCTGCACCCCGTGTGCGGGACGGGGAGGGAGGGCCAGACCGCCACCGGCGCCCGCCGGCTCTCACCCCACGCAGGACCCCGGCCTCCTGGACAAGCAGGCCCGCTGCCGCTACCTCAAGGGGAAACTGAGGCACCTCAAGGGGCAGATCCGCAAGTTCCAGGAGCAGCAGGACAGCGAGGGCTCCGTGTACTTCTGAGCGAGCTGGGCTTCGGCTGGTGGCCCCCTCCTCCAGGAAGCCCCCGGGACCCTCCCGCCTCACTGTGCCCCAGTGCAATAAACGCGTATGAGGCACCTGCTGTATACAGCTGCTGGCCCTCCCCGACACACGGCACTCAGGGGCTCGGCATTGTCCCCAGAGGTGGGCGGCACCCGGCGTCTCCGACAAAGGGCGTGGGCTCGGCATCGGGGAGTCAGGAAAGTCAGGGACCCCATGAGAACGCCGGAATCCCACTGCGGAAGGATTGGGGGCAGCCCTGGCCGCAGAACGCACCAGGTGCAGCGTTGGGGTCAGCCAGAAGGGGCGTTCTCCATCCCCAAGTCTTTACAACACCACCTTCACCAAGAGGGGCACTCTGGGTGGGGCTCTGTAGGGCGATTAGGAGTCCGGCTGCTCAGTCACCCTGGAGGGACAGCTGAGGCTGCTCCAGTAAGACCCCACCCGGCCTGCGCCCAGCTCAGGCCACTCGGCCACTGCTGCAGCACTGCCAGCCCAGAGTGGCAGGGATCCAGGGGTTGCAGCCTGCGTCCACATATCCCCCCACGAAGCCAGATGCCCACCCCATGGGGCATCTTTGCTGGACAGCTTGTATCTGCTGACATGTAACCCCCAGCGCCAACTCCACGGACTCGGGGGCTTTCGGGGGTGGCTTTTTCTCCCCCCATTTCACAAAGACACGCGGCAGAAGTCTGGGATCTCGGAATGTAAACGCCCGAGGGTTTCAGGCGTGGCTCGATCCGGCTCGAGGCCAAGCCAGAGTTCACGCAGGGGGAGGACTCACTTCCTGTGGACTCACTTCCTGTGAGGTGTCCGGCCTGTCCACGCACACTTGGGGGAGTAAGCTGAGACCCAGAATATTCCGCCAAGAGCTGGGAGTAAAGGGTGCCCCAGGAGCAAGGGGTCCCCCCTTTTCGCCCACCACTACCCTCCAAATAATGCGGCCTGCACAGGTAGGAAATATCTTTATTCTTGGCTTGGATTTGCCATCGTGTGGTGTCCAGCGTGGATCACGCACTGCCTGGCCCCCACGCAGCCCCTCGCGGGTCCGGACGCCAGGCCTTCGTCCATCACACTGCGCTCGGGGGCGGGGAGGAGCCGCCCCCCAAACAAGAGCCCGTGCGGTGTCCCCGACCAACTCGTGGCTGGAGCAGTGAGTCCATTTTTGGTTTCATGATCATTTTTAAAAAACAGAAAAGACAAAACATTTCACAGTCTCTCTTAAAAACAAAACTGAGGAGGCGGGGGAGGGGCTGGTCCCTGTGGCCGCCCCGTCGGGGGGCGCACCCCGCAGCCTTCCTGTCCCTCAACCCCGTGCACCCCAAGAGGGGGGTCTGGGGGCGCACCCCAAGAGGGGGGTCTGGGGGCGCACCCCGTGAGGCGGGCCTGGGGGCGCACCCCGTGAGGGGGGTCTGGGGGCGCACCCCGTGAGGCGGGCCTGGGGGCGCACCCCGTGAGGCGGGTCTGGGGGCGCTAGCCGGAGCCGTAGGGCCAGTTGAAGGTGCTCCCCGACAGCAGCATGTCACGGATCAGCGTCTCGATGGGCGTCTTGCCCACCAGGCGCATGAAGAAGAGCTGTGAGATGAGGGAGGCGGGCACGGCGCGCAGGGCGGGCAGGCGCAGCAGCAGGCGCCCGAAGCGCTGGGGCTGCGACGGGTACTGGGCGCGCACGTACTCGGTCAGCGCCACCTGCGCCTTCTCCTGCAGGCTCTCCACGTGCGCGGGGTCCGAGAGGCCGCAGGCATCTGGGGGGCGGGACGGAGGAGCACCCGGGTCAGAGCTGGGGGTGCGGGAGGCGGGCACAGCCCTATGTGTCCGAGCCACCTCGCCGAGTGCCCGGCCTGGGGCGGGTCCCTGGCCCCCCTGGCCTCCCGTGGGCGCAGGGCCTTCCCCACCCCCGCAGGCGGATCACAGGAGCGGGGCTGAGGGGGAGCCCCTGTGCTGAGCCCGCGCCTTCGGCGCTGCTACTCGCAGCAGTACGGCAAGGCTGGGCAGCTGGCGAGCCAGCAGGGGGACCGGCCTCTGCAGGACGGAGCCGGGCCACCCCCACACCCCACTGCCCACCCTGGGAGGTGGGGTCTGGTCGGAAAGCCCCGAAGTGGGGTGCCTGGGACCTCCTCCCCCCCCGCCCCGCACCTAACCGAGGGAGTTAGGGCGCCTGGGCGGCCATCAGGGCCGGGGGAGCCGCGCGGCTCGGGGTCCTTGGGGGGTGGCACGTGGGGAAAGGAAGAATCGCCTGGTTTACATCAACTCCCGTCCCTCGCTGCCTGCGAGTCGGGGGGCGGGAAAGGACTCGGGGCGCGCTCTGGGTCCCCACCCCCCTGGGAAGGACTCGGGGCGCGCTCTGGGTCCCCACCCCCCTGGGAAGGACTCGGGGCGCGCTCTGGGTCCCCAACCCCGGGAAGGAGGACTCGGGGACCTCACCCGGTGTGAACAGCGCGATGGCCTTGAGGCAGCCGTACTCGGCCGAGTCCACCTGCAGGCGGCCCAGCTTGTCCACCTGCTCCTGGAAGGCGCGCACCTGGTCCATGAAGGCCACGGCGCGCTCGGCGGCCATGGGCGCGGCGTGCAGGCCGGCGGCGGCCAGCAGCGGCGCCGTGTGCAGGGGCAGCGCGGCCTGCGCCGCGTTCAGCACGAACAGCTCGCTCCAGCTGAGGCGCAGCAGCGCCACCTGATCGGCCACCGGCAGCTCCGGGAAGAAGGGCGCGTGGCGCGCCCACTCCACCGTGCTGAAGAGCAGCCGCGCCGCCAGCTCGCACACGTTGTCGATGCCCAGCACGGCGCCCGCCGCTCCCGCTCCGCCGCCGCCTCCCGCTCCGCCGGCCCCGCACGCGCCCGCGCCGCCGAAGCGCCCCGCCGCCGCCGGGTAAGGCTCGGCCCGCAGCAGCTGCGCGATCAGCTCCGACACCGGCTGCCCCGGGAACAGGTCCCCGCCGCCGCCGCCGCCTCCCGCTGCTGCCGCTGCGGCCGCCGCTGCTGCCACGGCCAGCGCCGAGCCCGGGGGGCTGCCGGAGGAGGCGGCCACCGCGCCGGGCAGCGAGTGCGGGATGCGGCCACGCTGCACGGCTGCGGGGATGGAGAGAGGGGGGAGACGGCCGTCAGAGCGCACCCCTGTACCCAGACCCTGTGCGCTCCTGAGCCCTAACACTAACCCCTGTACCCAGACCCTGTGCGCTCCTGAGCCCTAACACTAACCCTTGAACCCCGTGTGCACCCATGAACACCCCTAACCCCTGAACCCCGCCCCATGTGCACCCATGAACACCCCTAACCCCTGAACCCCGTGCGCACCCATGAACACCCCTAACCCCTGAACCCCGCCCCGTGCGCACTTATGAGCCTTAGCTCTGATCCCTGAATCCTGTGCGCTCCTGACCCCTAACACTAACCCCTGACCCCGCCCCGTGCGCGCCCATGAACACCCCTAACCCCTGAACCCCGCCCCGTGTGCACCCATGAACACCCCTAATCCCTGAACCCCGTGCGCACCCATGAACACCCCTAACCCCTGAACCCCGCCCCGTGTGCACCCATGAACACCCCTAACCCCTGAACCCCGTGCGCGCCCATGAACACCCCAACCCCTGAAACCAGCACCTTGTACATCCCTGAACCCCAACCCTAACCCCTGACCTACCTTCCCCCTACGCACCTCTAAACCTCAACTCTGATCCCTGAATCCCATGCCCTGCGCGCTGCTGAACCCTAGCACTAACCCCTGAACCCCAACCCTAACCGCAGAACCCCACCTCCTGTGTGCCCCTGAACCTGCCCCCGTGTGCCCCTGAACCCTGCCTCCTGTGTGCCCCTGAACCCTAACCCCATGTGTGCCCCTGAACCCGCCCTCTGTGTGCCCCTGAACCCTGACCCTAACCCCTGAGGCCCACTTCCTGGCCCAGGGCATGGCCTGGGCACTTTTCCAGGGCTGTGGGACTCCCACCCGCACCCAAGGCAAGCAGACAAGAGGGAAACCGAGGCACATTTGGCTGCCTGCCCAGCGGGTGTGTGCCAGGCAGGGGGAGGCGGGAAGGAAGGGGCAGCCTGCCAAGCAGAGGCTAATTAATGAGCCTTAATGAGTTGGCATGCCCAGCCTTATCATGGCCGGGGTGAAGGCAGGGTCAAGCCAGCACCCTCCCCTCCCTTGAGGCGGGCGCCAGCAGGGCAGGCACAGCAGCCCCACGGCGCCACCTCCCACCCCAGGGCCTTTGCACATGCTCGGTCCCCAGCCCTTCCTCCTCCTCCTCTCCTTCCCCACTCAGCCCAGGCCCCTCGCAAGCCTCCTCACTCAGCCCTGGATGCTCAGCTGCTCCACCTGTGAAATGACAAGCTGCCCGGGGAACAGCTGGCCAACAGCCCCTTCCGGAACGCCTGGTGTGTGCCAGCGCCCTGCATCACCCACCAGGAGGGCTTCCTGGAGGAGGAGGGACATCGGAACCCCACAGGGGAGAGTCAGCCTGTACTAAGGTGGGACTCCGCCGGCAGGATGCAGCGGGACCCCGGCTCTTGGCATCCAAGCACAAGTGGGGTGGGAGGACATGCGAGTCACCCCGAATTTCAAGCAGCCAAAGGCAGCAACTTCCAAGCAACTCAGAACAAACTTTCCCAGCTTCTCCCAGAGGCCTGGTGAGGACACTCTGTTCTGGGGCGTGGCAGGCTAAACCACCGCTACCGATGACAGCCTCATCCCATTCAGGCACAGGTTCATGTCCCGGCTGCTCCACTTCCCACCCAGCTCCCTGCCTGTGGCCTGGGAAAGCAGTGGAGGACGGCCCAAAGCCTTGGGACCCTGCACCCGCGTGGGCGACCAGGAAGAGGCTCCTGGCTTCTGGCTTCAGACTGGCTCAGCTCTGGCTGTTGTGGCCACTTGGGGAGTGAATTAGCAGACGGAAGATCTCTTAACTTTGCCTTCCAGATACACAACATTTCTCAAAAACAGTACAGGCTGAAAGTAAGAGAGACTCAAGGCAGACTGGGATGCCAGGCTGCCCTGGGCCATGCCCTCCCTCGGGCGTCCGGGGTTAGCGCGAGGGCAGTGCCCTGTGACTCCCTCAGCCAGTCCCTGCCTTAGGCAAACAGAAGGCAGGGCTAGACAGAGAGAGAGCGCTCAAATAAAAAACCAGCAGCGCCTCCTCGTTCTGCAGGGGGCGGGAGAGGGGGGCAGGTGGACCCTGACCCCCCCCAGCACAGCAGCTGGGCCACCCGCTGCCCCGTTCCCCTGGCCATAATTGGATTCCCCCAGCGGCTGCCTGCTGCCCCGGGGGCTGCTGGCCGGAGGAGGGGGGCAGTAACGAGGTTAGCCGGCGCCAGAGCCCGCCCCGCTCCTGGCCGTGACTGTGGCCGGCGCCTGCCCCCACCCCACGCACGCCCGCGGCCCTGAGTGCTCACCCTCCTTGCGCATGCCAACTCGGAAGCACTTCTTGAGGCGGCAGTACTGGCACTGGTTGCGATGGTGCTGGTCGATCTGGCAGTCACGGTTGGACCTGGTGTGGGGGGGGGGACACAGAAGTCAGGGCCCCCCACTCCTCCAGAAGGGAGCCCCAAGCTAGACAGCTGGCCTCCAGGGCGGCGGGAGAGGGTGCTGGGAAGTGGGTTCTGTAGGATGCATAGGAGTTCAGCTGGTGAGCAGAAGTGGGGCTCCTGAGCAGAAGAAGGTAGCCCTAAACAAAGGTTGCAAAGACCCAGGAGGTGGGGCAGGGCCTCAGCTGCTCGGGGAGTCCCCGCGTGGCTCACGCCGAGGTGGACTGCGTTAATACCCAGCGAATAAGAGGACAAAGGCATTCCTGACCCTCGGGAAGGGCCCACAGCTAAGCCCCTCTGTGCAGGACAACCCCTGTCACGGCCCAGGACACTTCCTCCAGGCAGCCCTTGGGGGCTGTGCACGGGAGAGGGGAGACTAAGGGAGCCCCCTACCCGCCCCCAGACACCTGCCGAGGGTGTGGGGGCGGTGCCCGGCCCGGCCCGGGCGGCTGCAGAACAAAGCGCCGGCAGCGGGGCAGCAGTGGGAGGACCAACCGAGCAGTCGGGTGGAACCGGCCAGGCCCGGGGCCAGCCAGGGCGGCACGGCCTGGGGGCAGGGCGCCTGACCTCCCAGGAGGCCCTGAACCTTTGGCCTCCACTTCCAGGGCGGTTGGAGCCCTGCCCAGGCCTCTCTCCCTCACCCTCCACGGCTGCCTTCTGCCCCCAGCCCGGACTCTCCCAAGCCTACTTCCTGCCTTGCCTGGGTGATCCCAGCTCACCCCGCATACCCTTCCCACTTAAAGAGCCACCTCCCCCAGGCAGCCCTCCTGGCCTCCTATGAGCTTAAACCCTGGTTATCAAACGCTGAGCCTGGGGGCTGGGCAGGGTGGGGGTGAGGGCCTCCTGGCATCCAACCGGCCAGCAGAATCGGAGAGGCCCAGAGAGGGACACGGCCTGGCCAGGCCGCACACAGCACGGCCTGCCAGTGCTTCCCCGGCGCCATTCCCCAAAGACCCGGGCCCTGAAAGTTGGAAAGTTATTCCAGTGGCAAGAACGAGGTCAAGTCGGATGGCCCAGTTAGTGTGGGAGCAGGGAGGTGGCGAGGCAGCGCACGGCAGGCGGGCACACTCAGCCACTTGGGGCCCCTCCCTCCTTCCCTGTCTGGGGGTCTTGGCTCCACAGACACCCCAGCTCGTCCCGCTCCCCTCCCCCCGACGCACATCCCTAGCCCATCAGCACAGCCACCCATGGGCACAAGGAGGACACAGGGGTCATCTCCAGCCCTCGGTGTTGCTTATCTGCAAAATGGGACAGCCCATGCGGGGCATGGACCGTGGAGGGGGGTGCACGGGGACCCCCCCACGTGGTCCTCCAGGACTTCGTGCCAAAAGGGCGGCCAGCAGCCTTTGTGTCCCACGTCCCCAGCAAATACCAACAGAAGCAGCCACCACGGCCACGCCCTGGCACAGGGGCCTGGGGGCCGGGGGGGGGGGCACTCTGCACTCCCACCCGGCCAAGTTTACAAGCTGGTGATTTTATTCCCAGGAGCCGGGTACCCACCCCTGGGTGTGTGTGCGGGGCGCGGGAGGGGGGGTGCGGCCGATTCCGGTGGCCATTTCCGCTGACCCGAGGCCCACCCTGAGCCTATGGGGAGGGGGGCGGTTGCTGCGGACCCGCCAGGCCAGCTCCCCACCCCCACGCAGGACGCCCACTCCTGGGGGAGGAAGCCATCCCGAGCCGCGGCGGGAGCAGCAGCAGCAGAGGCGGCGGCAGCGGCTGGAGCCTGGGCGACTTTGGAAGTGATATTTGACCCCAAGGGCGCGCCATATCGATCCGCGCGGCCGCAGACAATGGCCCCTGGACGCCGCCGTCGCCGCGGTCCAAGTTCCACGTTGGAGCCCCCCCCCGTGCGCGCGCGCGCACACACACACACCCCCCGCCAGGATTGCCCAACAGCAGGGGGTGCACTAATGTTAGGGTCCCACCTCCCCCTAGCATGGCCCTCTCTCCCCTGGGGGGTGTGGAAGGGAGGAAGAGGAGGAGGAGGAAGAGCCAGGAACCCGGGCGGAAGCTGGCCAGGGACCACCTGATGGGCGGGGGTGAGCGACCTGCATGGATGCAGCGCCTGCTGTATACACAATTGCAGGGAGGGAAGGGCTGTCCCCGTCACCCCGACCTCACCTCCAGGCCCAAGGTGACCCAGCAGGTCGGGGGCGGGGGGCCCAGGCCGGGCACTCACCGGCAGGTGTAGCTGAGGTTGCGGCGGATGCTGCGCTTGAAGAAACTCTTGCAACCCTCGCAGGTGAAGACGCCGTAGTGTTTGCCGCTCGACTTGTCCCCGCACACCACGCAGTCCACCTGCAGCCCCGGCCGCTCCTCGTCTCCCGGCTCCGCGTCGCTGGCCGCGCCGGGGGGCGAGGCCGAATCGTCCTCAGCGGCGCGCGGGTAGCCGCCCGCCTTGTCCACGCCGTTCGTGTCGCCGCCGCCGCCGCCCCAGCCGCCGGTCACCATGGCCATAGTAGCCCCAGGACGGCGGGGGCCGGGAAGCCCTTGTCCTGCTCCTCCTTCTCGCAGCTCCTCCTCCCTCCTCCGGGCACCGGAGGGAACAGCGGGGACCCTACCCAGCGCGCATCCGGCCCCGACGCACTGGGGGCCACCAGCTGCACCCCCCAAAAAACTTTTGCAGCAACTTCCTGCGGCCCCGGTCCGCGCGCCCGGGCGGAACTGGTCGGGCCGGTTCCAGGCCAACTTTCCCACGCGTGCGCGGGGCCGGAGGGGGCGCGCTAGAGGCGTGGGCCAGGGGCCTCGAGGACTCGCGCCCCGCCGCCCTGGGGCCCCGATCGGGGCGCGCGGGCCATGGCCCGGCCCGGGCTGCGCTGGGGGCGCCCTCCGGCCTGGCCTCCGCTCGGCCGCCGCGCCGGGGCCAACTTAACGGGTCGCCGCCATCCGAGCGCCGGAGGAGCCCGCGCTGGGGGGCAAAGTTTGGCTGCAAGTTGCGCGGCCGCCCGTGACGAGGGAGAGGGGCGGCGGGCGCGCGCCCCGGCGGGTCACCGGGTCCCTCGCCGGGGTCGCCCGGGTCCGTCCCCCGGGGCTCCTCCCGGGTCCCGGAGCCTGCGCTGACCGATCGGGGCCTGCAGGAACGCCGGCGGCCGCCGCCCCCGCCACGGGCCGCGTCCGCCTGGCCTGGGCCTGCGCCTCGGCCTGGGCCTCGCTCTCGCCACCCGCGCCGCCGCCGCCGACCCCGCGCGCCGGCCTCGCGCTGCGGCCGGTTTGACACACGACGTTCCATCCGCGGGGCGGGCGCGGGGGCAGGGGCGCGCGCCGCGGGCTGGGGGCGGGCTGGGGGCGGCGCGCGTTGCCCCGGCGACGGCCGCCCTTATAAGGGCATGGGTGGCCGCGCGCCCGGCGCCCAGGCCGGCGGGAGGGACGGGGGCGGAGCGCGGCGGCCGGGCCTGACCCTCCCCCGGCCGGCCCGACCCTCCCCCGGCCGGCCCGACCCTCCCCCGGGCGCCCCGCGCCCCGCGCCCCTGCCCGGCCCCCGCGCTCCGCCCTCTCCCCCTCCGGCCTGGCCTCGGACGTCGTTCCGGGCGCTCGATCGCCCTGGGGGGCGCGCCCCTCTCGGGACCGGCCCCTCCACCCCGGGACCCCCTGCGCCGCCGCCTGCTCGGCCACGCGTTCCTGGCGGCGGCGGCAGCAATAACGGGGAGCTGGGGGCACGGCGGGGGCCACGCAGGCGCGGCCCTGCGCCACGTGAGCGCGCACCACACACACGCACATACACATACACACGCATGTCTCTGCACTGTGGCATCCTGGCTGGTGAGGCTAGCTTCTGCTGGGGTACCACCTGGTGCCCCATCAGCAGGCCGAGGGGGTGGGGTGGGCAGGAATGCTGTGGCCTGAGGCACTCCCCCCCCTTTCTAGAATCCCAGGCCAGGCGGCTGGAATGCCCTCCCCCTAAGCCGGAACCTGCCCCCTTTGAGGCCGTGCCCCCTCTCCCCCAGGCTGGCCCCGGGCTGGGCTGCAGCTGGCTCCCCCGGCTCCCTGGAGAGTCCCGGCGGCCGCCCCGCCTCCCACCGCCCTCCGGCCTCTCTGCAGCGCGTATTAAGCACCTCTGGCATGCAGTGCATTTATTAAGCACCTAGACAGGATGGCGAGGAGGCTCGGGGCTGGTTAACATTTAACAGTCTGGAAAGGCCCGTCTCTGCTGTGACCTCTCACCCCGCGGCCGCGGGCCTGCCCTCCCCCACCCTGGCAGCCTGCGCAGGACGCAGAGGAGCTGGGGGGGGGGTGTGCATGTGCCTGCACCCTAAGGAGCAGCACCAGCTGTTGTGGGGTGAGGGCGGGATGCCCAAACCTCACACGCCCCTGACTCTGGCTGGGTGCTGGGGGCGGGAGAGCTGAGCCCTAGGTAGAAAGCTGGAGGGACTATGGTTAGACCCAAGCAGGGACTGCCCACTTCCTTTCCGCGAGCCCTTCTGGGGAAGGGCGGCTTGCTGGGCACCTGTTGGTTCTCTGGGGGTCCTAGGACCCCCCAGCCTGGACCTGCCTGGAGGGTGATAGATGGGGGAGTCAGGGAGTGACCCCATGATGCCGGGATGGGCTGCGGGGTGGGGGTGGGGAGGGAGATGGGCCCCGCCCCTATGACCCCTGCCCAGGGCCCCGTGGTGACATCTGACCCAGGACAAAAAGGCCGGCCCCATCTGCCATAGGCTGGCCCGTGGGAACCCGCCTGCAGGTGACCAGGCCTCCGCCGGCCCCTCCCACAGGGAAGGGGACCAGGACCCTGGGCAACGGAGGAGGGGGATGCAGGGGTGCAAAGCCCAGGCCCCCCCAGCCAGGCACCTGCTGGCCAGGTGCAGCCTGGAGCCCCAACCCCAAAGCTAAGGGGTCCCCCCCCACCTTCCTAATCCCCCCCTGGGTCTCGGGTTTCAACTCCCCACAGGGCAGGGGACAGCTGACTAATCCCAGGCCGGCTGAGGCTGGAGGTGGGGCCTACTCAAACAGATGCTAACCACGCCCCCAGGGCTGGGAACTTCTCTGGGTGTCATGGCTGGGCTGGTGGGACCCCCTGGGCAGCCCTCACCCTTCTAGTCCCTGCCAGTTCTGCTCGCTTAGCTGCCAATTCACCCTGGGAACGTGAACCTGAACAGCGTGGGGTTGAGCAGAGCAGGTACGCCCTGACCCCTGGGCACCCTCCCGTGCTGGGCTTCCAGACCAACAGGGGACTTGGGCCTTCGGCTCTGGTCTGGACGCAGGCCTCCAGAGACCTTGGCCCGACCCCAATGACACATCAAGTTCACAGCCCTCGGGCCACCCAGCGGGGCTTGGCCACGCACCCCGCTGCCACCAAGCCACTGCACACGAGCTCATACCCCACTCGGCCGGCGCGGCCAAGGAGGATGCGTGGTGCCTACAGCAACGTCTCCCCAAGGCGTGGAGGGGGGCGTGCGCCCCCGGGCCACCCGAGGGCCCTGGCCGTGGCTTCCAGCACTGCCAGCTCCTCTACCTGCCGGGCCTCGGTCAGCGCCAGCTGTTGCTCCAGCTTTCGCAGCTGATCTTCCTGCTTGCGGTGGGCTCCCCGGAAGGCCAGCAGCAGGGCGCTGTGGGGCGAGGGGGGCTGAGCCAGGGGCAGGGGCCCACCCAGGCTCCAGGGCTGGTGGAGGGAGGGCGATGGGTGGGTGGCCTCCAGCGGCAGGGGTCGGGCGCAGCGTGGGGTGGGCTCACCTGTGCGCCTTACACAGGTCGCTGTGCAGCTCGGCGCTCTGGGCCCGCCGGGCGCGCCCCTTCTGAGCCGCCTGCTCCAGCTCCCGCCAGAGAGACCAGAGCTGCCCCCGCAGGTCAGCCGCCCTAGCCGGGGGTGTAACGGGGTGGTCAGGGGGCAGAGCCCAGCCAGGGCCCACCCTCCCCGCCCTCCTCCTGCATACCTGCTGAGGGACGCGGCCACTTCCTGCGCTAACTTCTCCGGGTCCCATGCCCTGCCCGCCAGCTGGCCGCCCTCAGGAACGGCAGGAGCCTAAGGGAGTCCGCAGGGAGGGCAGTGCCCTGAGTGGGCGGGTGGGGCTCCCCTAAAGGACGTCTGGGAGGCCTTCCTGGAGAAGGCGGCACCCAAGAGGGACGCAGAAAGCAGGGGTGCAGGGCGGGGTCCCCCAGGCAGGGCCCCTCACCTGGGCCCACTCCTCATCCTCGCTGCTGTCTGCCTCGCTGCTGCTGTCCCCGCCACCAACGCCCAGCTGCGCCCGCTCCCAGCGCAGCTGGTCCCGCAGGAGCGCGTGAGCAGGACCCTGGGCCCGCAGTGCCGCCTCCCTCAGCTCCAGGCCCCGCTTTTCCCGCCGCACCAGCTGCACCTGCAGCATCAAGTCGGCGAGCATCTCCTGGGGGACGGTGGGGAGGGGACAGTGCAGGTACGGGTCAGCACAGCCTCCCAGGCCACGAGCTTTTCCCTTCTCCTGCTCCCACCCGCCTCGACTTCCCTTAGGAGGGGACTGCTAGAAAGCTGGATGCTGAGGTCAAGGTGTAACAAACTCCTATGCATTCCTCAAAACCCCACCTCCAATCTCCTTCCTCCAGGAACAGAATTCTCAGCCACCTTCTCAGCCACCGAGCAGAAGCTTCCACTGCCCCATCAACCCCAGCCACACCTTGTCTCTCCCTTTGTTTCTTTCTTTCTCTCTCCATCTCTCTCACACACAGCAGTTTCTCTCTCTCTCTCTTCCTCCCTGTCTTTCTCTCCACCCCAACCTCAGCTGAGGCCTGCCATGGCGCCCACAGCTGACGTGTACCCGTGTGGCCAGCAGGGCGCGTTGCATCTCCACTTTGTCCAGCCGGGGCAGGGCTGGCCCAGTCTGGGCCTCCAGTGCGGCCTGCAGCAGGGCCTCGGAGTGTGGCAGCGTGGGCAGGGGTTCGGCGGGGTCTGGCTCCGGGTGGGTCTTCACCAGGGCACGGCGCTGCTGCAGATGCCGGATGAGGCCTCGGAGCTGGGCGGCCATTTCCTGCGGCAGGGGCCTGTCCACACTGCTGAGCTCGGGGCTACAGGAAGATGGAGGGGCAGGGTCTACCTGGCACTGTGCCCCCTGGGGGGTCATGCCCACGTGGAGGACGCCCTGGCACCCACCCTACAGACACTGTGCCCACGTGGAGGACGCCCTGGCACCCACCCTACAGACACTGTGCCCACGTGGAGGACGCCCTGGCACCCACCCTACAGACACTGTGCCCACGTGGAGAACGCCCTGGCACCCACCCCACAGACACTGTGCCCACGTGGAGGACGCCCTGGCACCCACCCCGCTGGCACCACATGGAGTACACCCTCACCCCGAGGACATCACACCACTGACCCCCAGGCCAACCTCAAGGCAATCCACCACCATGCCAGCCCCATGTCATAGCAACAGGTTCACTCACGCTTCCTTGTACAAATCAACCACCCATGCCCTACCCACTGTGCTGGCACCAGCGAGCCGGGCCCGAGCATGTGGCCCCATGCCCCAGAGCCCCCTGCGTTGTTCAGCTGCAACCTCTCTTCTTGTGGGACACGGCCCCCTGGGGGTTGGGGGTGCACTTGAGTGACAGGGGTGGGGCGGGGAGCATACCTCGGCAGGGTCTTCAGCAATGTCCCGCCATTCGTGCTGACTCGTTCTTGTGCCAACAGCCTCCACGCTTCCGTCTCGGCTGCCTCCAGCTCCTCCCCAGGGCCTTGGCCAGCAGCTCCCATGTCAGCGTCATGCAGGGCCAGGAGTGCCCGGTACATGGCCTCACAGCGTTCGCTGT